TCCTGTCTGCCCACTGCTCCCCTCAGCATTGTATTTAAGTCAGTCAGCCTTTTCTGTTCCTCACTCTGTCTCTGGTGTGTCCTCTCACCTCCAGCACCTCTGGCCTGTGCCCCAGTTCTTGTATGCATAAATAAATAAATCTTAAAAAAAGAAAGAAATGTGTACTCCTATGTTTATTGCAACACTATTTACAATAGTTAAGATTTGGAAACAATCTAAATGCCCAAAAACAGGTGAGTAGATCAACTACAAGTGTACATATACACAACGGAATACTAGTCAGTGATTAAAAAAGATAAATTCATGCCATTTGTAGCAAAATGGATCCAGCTGAAAGTGATTATATTAAGCAAAATAAGTCAGAAAGATAAATACCAAATGTTGTCACTTAAATATGGAATATAGAAAAGCCAACAAAGGGCCAAATAAAAACATTAAAACCAACACCTGAAAGTTGACCAATAGACCTGAGGCATCCAAAAGGGGAGAGGCAAGGGAGGGATAAGAAAAGTGAGGATGGGTTTGTTGGGGAGGGAAGAGCACAATAGACTATGGTGGAAGATTATGGGTGATTAGGTGGTGTGAGAGCTACAGTGAATACACTGAAGGGGGAAATCCTATACTATCAAAATACTAGCAAGGATGTAAAATAATGGTACTTCATAAAAACAGATATATAAAAATAAACTAAAAAATATAACTAGCAAGCAAAAGATAGATTTACAGTAATTAAGCCCCATATACCAATAATCACCTTGAAGGTGAATGGTCTGAACTCATGGATTAAATGATACAGAGTGGCACCTTGGATAAAAAAGCATGATCTCTCTATATTTTGCATACTGGTGTTTCACCTCTGATCTATAGATATATGTATTCTAAAAGTGAAAGGTTGGAGCAAGGTATTTCAAATCTATAAAAAAGAAAAAAATCAGGAAATGCTAAATTTTATATCTGATAAGGTAGATTTTCAACCAAAAGAGAAATCATTAATATGGGCACTATGTATTGATGAAGGGGACAATCCATCAGGAAGATAATACTGCCATCAATATTTATGCACTTAACACTGATACACCTAAATATGTAAAATAAGTATTAACAGTTCTAATGAAAGGCATTACAGTAATAGTTGGGAATCTCTACATATTACTTACATTAGTCGATAGATCATACAACTTATATTGGTGGATAGATCATACAGACAGAAATAATAATGTTCCTAAACAATGACCCAAATGGATTTCTACATATACAGAATTTTCCATCCCAAAAGAAATGATCACACATTTTTCTCAAGTGCGCATAGAACATTTTCAAGGAAATCATATGCTGGACACACAAAAATACCTCAATAAATTGAAAACTGAAATCATACAAAGCATCTGTTCTGGTCTCAATGGTAGGAAACTGGAAACACAAAAAGAAAATGGGGTAGGGTGGTAAAAATCAAACTTGTGGATATTAGCAAAATGATTTTGACTAACTCAGGTCAATAAAGAAATCAGGATAAATAAAAATATATGGAAACCAATGAAAATGATTTACCAGATTTACCAGATCTTAAGGGATGTGGCAAAATTAATATTGAGAGTGAAGCTCATAGATCAAAAAAAGTAGAAAAACATTTTAAATTAACTTCTCAATGAGCTAGAAAAAGAAGGAAAAAAAAAACCAAAAGAGATCAGTGGGAAGTAAATAATAAAAATTATAGCAAATTCAATGAAATAGATACAAAAGATCAATACAACCAAAAAAATTTCAGAAGTATTAATATTATTAAACACAAATCGACTCACTAGGAAAAAGGTGATATTACCCTGATAAAAGGAAATCAGAAATGAAAATGATGAAGGTACGGTACTGAAGAAATAAAAAGGACCATAGGAGACTGCCATGAATATCTAGAAGCAAATAAAATGGACAACCTGGAAGAGATGGACCAATTTTGGGGAGCATGCAACCTTTCATGACTGAACCAGACCACAATAGATAGTGCGAAGAGAGAAATCACAAACCAGTTTTCAGAAGTCACCCTGTGAATAAAAGCCTAGGATTAGATTACCAGTCTTTCAAAGATTTAATACCTATCCTTTTCAAAGGCTTATAAAATGGAGGAGGGAGGAGTGTTCCCAAACAAACTTTCCGAGGTCAACATTAACTTGACCCAAACCAGACAAGGGCAGCAAAAAAAAAAAAAAAAAAAAAAAAGGGAAATAAAACAATATCTCTGATGAATATAGGTGCAAAAAATTGCAAAAAAAAAATCTTCATAGATCAAACCCAACATTACATTAAGAAAATCATGCATCATGACAAGGATAGATTTATTCTATGGGTAGAAGAATGGTTCAACATACGCTACTCAAAATATATTTATAACATCAACAAAAGGAAAAATAAAAATCACATGATAATATTAATAGCTCCAGAAAGCACTTGACAAAAATTCTACTCCCATTATGATTTTAAAAACTCGCAATAAAATGGGAATAAAAAAATAAATGGCATATGTGACAAACCCATAACTAACATCATACTAAATGACAAAAAACCGAAAGCATTTCTAGTAAGGTCATGATCAAGAAAAGGATGACTTCTCTCACAACTGCCATTCAACATAGTATTGGAAGTCCTAGTCAGAGTAATTAGGTAAGAAAAAAACATAAAATGAATCCAAACTGGAAAAGAAATTGAAACTATCACTATTTGCAATAGGCCTGATAATATAAATGGAATACTTCCTTCTTCCCACCTGCAGAATGTCTCTGGTTTATAGTAGCTTGTTGATTTCATGAAGAGAAAAATTTAAAAAGTACTTGTCATGCCAATAAAGAAGGGAAAACGGAATGGTAAAGTATGAAAAGTCCAAAGGAAGGCAAGAAAGGAGACAAAAAAGCAGGGCAAATAGAAAATCAATAGTAAGATGATATATTACAACCCAATTAAAGCAATATTCTTTAATTTTAAATTGACTAAATGAGTCACTTAAAATAGAGTGATTATCAATATAATTGCAATCAAATATAACCTGTGTGTTTTATATGCTTATTCTTTGAAATTAATTGAAATGTTTTAAGATCTAGGATGTGATCACATTTTTAAAAATGTTCCATGGATAATTAGAACTTCTCTATAGTTGATTTTGTTTTGTATGTATGTTTAATGAGTCAATCTTATTTGAGTCATTCAATTCTCTTAATTTTTACTAAGTTTTGTCTTCCTGAGATATCAGTAATTATGAGATTGTCTTTAAATGTCCATCTCTGATCATGCTTTTTGCCTTTACTCCTATTGATTTTCCTTGATATATTTATAGTCTATCTAGTAATATAAATACATATTTAGAAGTTTTCAAATGGAGAAAAAGTAATTATTTTTGCACTTCTCCCTCCATCTTTCCCATCATAACAACAGTATCTAAATATGTGATTATTGGTTATTAGAAATACACATTTTCATTTGGACATTTTTTCCCTGAAGTATACAAAATCTTTCCCAAGATATTTGGTGTCATTTAATTGGGTCTCCTTTTTTGCTTATCATTTGGTCACTTCTACCAAACACCAATAAGGATCTTTATGTCAAACTTTCCTTGGTACTCTATATCTAAAAAAAAAAAAAAAAAAAAAATTGGGTCCTGACTTTTGAGTTATATTTCAAAGTTCTTTTTAGTCAATAACCCACTGATTTAATGCATTCAGTACAGTTATTGCCATTCTAATTTTTATTCATTGATAGGTGATCTATTTTGTTCCTCTGGAACAAAATTTCAGTAATATCTCTTTGCTGTTATTTTAAATTTCATTTTTGTTCAATGCCCAGTTTTTAATATCCTCTCTAAGGTCATTCACTTATTTTTTTTTATTAAGAAGTTTTTCCTTTATCCTATTAAATATTTCCTCCTATTTAAATTTTTTCTCTCCTTCTGGAAATGCTACTATAGGATATTGACAATTCTAGTTTCCTTATCTCTTAATTTATTTTGGTATTTTTTTAGTCTTTTTTATTCATTCTTAAGACAGTTTATGAATCTGATATACCAAATTGCTAATTCATTAAAGTAATTATTTCTATTCTACTATTTATCTTACCTTATTGGAATGATTATTTGTGACTTTATTTAGTTTGATTTTATTTCTGGGCTATTGGGGCTTGTTTTTTTATTTGATTGTGGTAAAGATTATTTAGTACTAGTATATTCTGCTAATTACTTCCCTTAGTTTTTCAGGACAGCCACACAATTTTGAAGTGAATTTTTATACATATTTTTAGCATTTCAAAAAAATTATAGTTAAGGGGAAGGCAGTAACTTAAGGTATATGAAGTGGGGTAGGATCTGCAAAGGAAATAATACCTGTAGACCTCAAGAAACCCATTTATGCTTGATCCCAACAGAGGAAGAACATGAAAAGGATTAAAGAAGTAAAAACTTGGGCAGCAGGATGACCCACAGTGTGGACATAATAATTGGATGATTACAGAGGACTTTCTGGGAAGAGTGTGTATTTGACCAGGAATTGTGTGGGGTTTTCTGCATTCAGTATCTCCCCATTCAAGGGAAATCCAACCACTAGATTTAGAAATGCCGCGGTGTTTGCAACAGTTTTTGCAAATGTATGCGTTTTGCCTCTTTGGATGGTCTGTAAATGTAATAGGAGGAAAATGATTTGGTATCAGTAACTTGGAGCATTTTTGTGCCTTCTTACTGGAACCAGAAGTTACTTCAAAAATCACTGTCCTAAGTAAAAAATAGAAACAAAAGCCTCAGCAGGCACTGCCCTAATCCGAGAGCTGAAGGTCAAGCCATTACTTCCTTAATAAATATATGTGTGTCAATGTTAACACTTTTGAGCGCTCCTGTGCAGGCCAGCTCTCAGGTACCCATACCAACTCATCTCCTACGCCCCAGAACCCCCTGCCCGCTCAGACAGCAGAGATCCCCTGCCCTGCCTTTTCCTCAGGAGAGAATGCCTTCCCAAGAGGCCCTCTGCGCCCTTCCCCCTCCGGTTGTTCGACTCTAGTACTCAGAGGACCTGCGCGAGCCTCCCAAGAGTGCCTCAACAGCCCCAACTGCTGTTACTTGGCCAACTGGACTCCCAAGACAACGGAGTAATGTTCCTTCTTCTGATCCTTCTCACGGGACTTGGCAGGCTGCACGCAGACACCAGTAAGTCCAGATACTGCTTCTCCTCCCAAATCAGGCTTCTGCGGGACTTTTATTCACTTAGGGGGCTCGGGTTCAGTGTTCATTGCTAGATATTACCCTGCTCCCTAGCTCCCTTGACTCACTTTTTCCTTGCTCCTGGTATCAAGGTCTGTGGCCAAGAAGGCTGAGAGGTAGCCTTTGAGCAGAAAATCTTGCTTCATTTTCTGTGAAGTGGAACAGAATAAAATAATGTGGTCTTTTTCTCTGAAAATTCTTCTAGAAATAATTGCATCACCATCAAGAAGCTATTTCTCAATGACTTCCTGATTTTGGTGACTGCTGTCCTCCTTTTCCTCCATTAAAAATTGCATCTCCCCCCTTATATTCAGTATTCTTTATCTTTTCCCTGAGAATGATCTCACGTTCTAGATGTACCACTGTTTTCCCATTTCCACACTTCTTTCACAACATTTAATCACTGGAAATTGTTACTCGGTGTTACTTTGTCAAACACTAATTAGAGGTGGTATGTGTATGAGAGAGAAGGAAAGGAGGGCAGAGGAGGGGGGAAGAGGGGAGGGAGACTAGAAACCTGGGATCCAGACAAGATTAAGAAGAAATTTGTAGGTTAGAATGATCAGAAAGAGTGGAAATGAAGACTAGATGCACTGGTTATACAAAAAATACCTAGTATTGTTGGGTAAGAAAGCAGAATTGAATTTTGAAATGAATAATATAAGATTACAGGTTATCAAAATTACTTATTTTTATTTTAGAGCCAAATAAAAAATATCTGCAGATGACACTTCCTGAGAAGATTTCATCCTCTGACACAAAAGGAGATCCAGAAAAAAATGTAATTGGGATTAACATTTTATATCTTAAATTATGCTAAATTGCTTTTGATGTCAAGACCAAAGTCACTGGACATAGGAACTCAGTTCTCGGAGGTGGAGAAGTAATATTATATGCATGAAGGCATGCGATTGTGTGTGTGACTGTGTGTGTGTGTGTGTGTGTGTGTGTGTGTGTATGTACTTCTTTTGAAATAGAAGGATTTTAGGGATAAAATCTACTAGGGCTGGGACTAGGCACAGACATGGGAAGTGCTTGACTCAAGCACAGAATTCAAAAGGGTGGCAAAAAACTGGGATTCTCCAAGGAGCTAAGGCTGGTAAGGTTAGTCATGATCACAGCCTCTCTCTTTCAGAATCTCCTGACTTTCAGAAGCTGTCTCTAAGTTGCTAATTTCAAAAGCTATTTATTGGGATATAGCTATTGTCAACTGACTGATTTTTTGATTTTGTGCACAGACCATATCTCCTGGTGTTAGTTACTTGTTCATGACTTGGGGCTTTGACCCAAGAACAGTTTTTTCTTTTCTCAGATATGTCACATCAGCATTTTTAATTCTCAATCTCCCTTTTGGACTTCTCCCACAAAAGCCTGCACAGAGATAAGGGGTTATACAAATTTATATGTGGCGATATGATCTCCTGCTAGTTGTTAATGAAATAACTGAAGCTTTTTTTCAAGCTAGAAAAAAAAGAAAAGGCACTTACTTGGGATTTTAGGACTGCAACCTAGAAGACACAGACCTAATAAGCCCTTGAGAGTTGTTTTGGGGTTGCCTGGAAGTCAGTAAAAGTTGTATACACAAAGAAAGGATGGAATAGTTCTCATAGGTCCGTTATGCAAATTAATTTTCAGTCAGTCAAGTTCTCATTGGTGCAATAATAAGAAAATTCGGTCAAGATTTAGTTGAGTGCTGATTAATCAAGTTCCAATCCTGGGCAGTCTGAGACTGGTTGACTTTATTTCAGTTTCTTCCTGAGGGTGAAAGTCTGGGCTACCTTAGCATGCATGCCAGGCTTGCTGGAAGTGCAGGGGGTAGGACTGACCCTAAACAGATTCTGTTTTGGTTTAAACTAGACTCTGAGGGATCTACTACTTTGTTTTCTTTCCTTTTTTTTTTTTTTTTAAATATTTCTTGTCATAGTATTGCCATTCAAGTGACTTAAGCATCAGTTAGTTGAGCAGAAAAATAACGTACTGCCAATTTATTTGCAGTTTATTGAAAAAGTGCAGTACAAGACATTTAAGGTATTCTGACAAAGTTCATACAGGAAACACATGAAAAAAATCTTTATTGAGGACATGTCCATATACAAAGGATGCCTGAATGAAAAAAAAATTTGCATGTTTTATGAGTGTCCCAAATGACTTTCGTGAGTTAGAGATAGGAATTAAATTCAGCCTAGCCCTGTTCCAAACATTTACATATGGTTTGAGCAAATAGAACACCCTTATTGCCATGTGGAAGAGACCCACTTATTTACTTTATTGGGCAAAGAAAGAAGTAATACTAATTGCTTTTCCTCTTGTTCTCCCTTTCTTGGTTTATGGACAGAAAAACAGCATGCAAATGCATTTTGCCCTAGAAACATTTTAATTACAAGCAGTGGTGTAATAATTCCTTCTGGAGTGTGAGTTGAGTGAATCAAGATTATTCAAAAGGAACTTGAATAGTAATTTAAACCCCATGACATCTGACTTTTTTTAATCTTTTTTTTTTAAAGATTTATTTATTTATCCAAGAGCTGGGGTATAGTCAGAAGCGCGGGAGGGTAAGAGAATTCACCAGAGACAGAGCGGGGAGCAGAGCAGGCAGACGGACCTGCCGCGCCATGTGGGTTTCTCCCTGGCCGGCCGGGAATCAAACTGGTGCTGCAGAGGCTGTGGACAGTTTCACAGCGTGGCGCTCAACCCACTGCGCCACCGGGGAGGCCCCATGACATCTGATTTTAATAAGGTGTTGTATAGTGTTTCCATTGTGTTTGCTTTTATTGAAGTAATATTATTTGCATAACTTTCTTTGAATCATAACCTCAGAGAACTGGTGAGGTGTTCAGCTCTTGTGATAGGAGACTAGAAGTCCGGCTGAGCTTGCCACACTAGACAATGCATGAAGGGTCGAGGTCCGGCTCCCTAGGCTTCAGGCATGGCTAAAATGGTAGACAGTGGCCTCCTGGGGAGCATTGCCTCCATTTCCTGGTAGATGGTAATGGAGGCAAGGGGTTATTTGGACCTTGCTGGTGGTGGCTAAGGACAGGGTCTCTTGTTACCTGGAGTCTTGGCTCCTGCAACTGGTGACTGGATTGCTGGTGGTCTGATCACTCCCCATGATGTTCTGGTTGCTGGCCTCACATGTGGCTGGCGTGTGGATGACGAGGGGATGGTGGATGCAGCTGGGCCTGCACTGCAGTCAGGCCTCCAGTGGGGCCCATGGATTGCCTGGGGCTTGCCTCTTATGGTTGCTGCATCTTGTGGGCTCTGTCTATAGTGGCAGTAATGGGCACAGTGCAGGTTCTCTATGACCCGAGTAGATGGGGTAAAGGAGGAGAGAGTCCTGGAGCCCTCCGTGCCTTTTGTAGGCTTTTATTGGGATTTACCAGGTACACAGCAGGCAGGGGTGCAGGGGTGGGGGTATGGGGAAGGGGGTGGGGTGGGAGGCTGGCAGGCCTCTCAGCCCCCACCAAGTCTTCACTTTCTGGGCTCTCCTGTGTTCTCTCGTGGTCTCTGCTTCTCCGTTCCTTTCACTCTGCTGTTCCATTCTCTCGTTCGTTCTGCTGGTGTCCCCGTAACACCACCCTTATAAGCCCCGTCTCTCAGCCCAGCTGAATCCATCTACATATGCCCACACCCTATTCCAAGTGCCTGCCATCAGGCATGCATTCAGGACCGCAGATCCATCATCAATCCTAATGGCGGGAGGGCAGAAAAGCCTGATATCATTTACTTACCCTACAGTCTTATTTAGGAATCACTGAAGTCTTTCCCTAGTACTGAAGCAAAGAGTACACAGAGGAGGTGAGCCTGTGTACTCAGCTCTGCCCCTATTTTGCCCCAGGCATGGGCTATATTTTCTCTTGTTGAGTGAACGCTTGTATATTAGCCCATTTTACCACATGCGATGTGCAAATATTCTGTCCCATTTGGCAAGATGTCTTTTCATTGTAATAATTTCTTTTGCCATGCAGAAGTTCTTGTTTAATATAATCCCATTTTTAAAAATTTGCTTTTGTTTTCCTTGCCCCTGTATTCTTGTCCACATAATGAAAGTCAGTGTCTTGGCGTGTATTGCCTGTGTGTTCTCTATAGTTCATGATCTCAGATCTTACAAGTCTTTAGTCCATTTTAAGTTATTTTTTTATGTATGGTATGATGATAGAGTGGTCTAGTTTTATCTTTTTGTGATGGCTCTGTTTTCTCAACACCATCTGTTGAAGAAACTCTTTCTGCACTATAATATTCTTTATTCCTTTATTGCAAACTAGCTGTCCATGTAATTGTGGGTTTCTTTCTGGTCTTAATTCTGTTCATTGTTCTGTGTTGCTTTTTATTCCAGTAACATACTCTTTGGCTTACTATACGTTTGCAGTTCAGTTTGAAGTCTGGATGTGGGATACCTTTGTTCTTTTTGATCTGGATTGCTATGGCTATTTGGGATCTTTCATGGTTTTATATAAATTTCAATAATGTTTCCTTTATTTCCTGAAACAATGCTAATCAAACTTCGAAAAAGGTACCATTAAATTTGTATATTGCTTTGGGTAAGATGGTCACGTCAATGGTGTTAATTCTCCTAATCCATGAGGCAAGGGAAATCTTTTTATTCTTTGTATATTCTTTTTCTTTTAATATCTTATTTTAGAGATTTATACTTACTAACAAGGACATGTATTCACAACATATTGCAAGGTGAGAACAAGGGTTCGGAAAGTATTTTAATTACCATTCCAGTTTTGTAAAACCATATGTATTTATTTGTATATGTATGCATAAAAATATTCTGGAGAAAACACACTCAAGCACTAACTGGTAAACATCTGTGGGCAACAACATCATGGCAGGTATTCTTTTTTACGTTATATTTTCCCAACTCCTTTTCATTCTAATCCAGAAATTACTTGTAAAAGACTTTTTTTATTTTTCCCAAATGAAAGATTTAATGTTCTTTCCATCTCATAATTCAAGTTTCAAATTATGTTCTCCATGTTAAGGGTAAAACAGCTCAGGCCTTACACAAAAACCAATGCTTGCTTTAGCTCATTGTGGTGCAGTTCCTCATTACATAAATTACTTCAACATTTTGGGTTCATTAGCGGGGGAAAGGAATGGAAATTCCATACAACTGAAGTTCCAAGGTATAATGGTAGAAACAGCAAGAACATTAGCAAAGAAAAATGCCTTGGTAAGAGAGGAGACAAACCTCCACATATTCCCAACACTTACTTGATTCACTCTGGAGGGTCTGCCTTGATTAGTCTATTTTAAAAACTGCTGTGGAAATAAAATTAGCCCTAGCTAAAACTAACATTAAAATGCACAAAATATACAGGAATTCTACTAGCAATGGTTTTAAAGATAGTTTAGGAAAGGTGATCTAATAGTTTCATTTTGAACTCTGTTACAAAAGTACCTTTAATCAAAAGCCATCCGTTTCAAATTTTCCCTTTCTATGGGCATAAATTCTCTGTAGCTGTTTATTGTAGCTCATTATTTAGCCACATTGCTATTATCTTTCCTGTATTTCTGAAATGTCTGCTGTAGCTAATCCTCTGTCATTTCTGATTATAAGAGTTCTGCATATTTTGTCTCTGTCAGCCTACCTAGATGTCTATCTTTTCAAAGAAACAGCTTTTGGGTGCACTGATCTTTAGAAATGTGTTTTGATTTCTATTTCTTTTTAAATTTTTGCTCTAATTTTTATTATTTCCTTCCCTCTACTGATTTTTTGGCTTCATTTGTTCTTCTTACTTCCATAAGTTGAAAAGTTAAATTATTTATTTGACATCCTTTTTGTTTCTTGATATAGATATGAAGTATATTAGTAATTACATATTGTTAATTTTGTCAATCTTTTCAAGCATAACTTAGTGAATACAATTATTTAGCATATATTTTTTGGATACTCATGTTACAGATTGCTTATACAATTGAAATAGAAGGAAAACCATATTTTGTCTATCTCAAAAAACAGTAAGTAATTATTTTGTTCTTTTAAAATTTTAGTTGTTTTCTTGATTTCTAAATTAGTCTCTTTAATTCAAATGTATATTTGGAAACCAAAAATGTTTTCAACCATATACTTATTTAAGTCTTGTACATTGGGGCATTTATTTATATTGAGTATAAGTACATTATACTTATAAAAAGACAGTGAGTCCTGTACACTGTTTTGGAGGGGCCAAAAGTAGTGATAGGGTGACTAATTTTTGATTATACAATGGTTTAGGGGAATGATGATGGTGGCTTTAAAAATGACATTGGTCATAGTCCTAGAGAGCACAATTTGAAGAAGATTTGGTGAAATGATTGGGGAAAAGCGAGGAGGTAATATGGGCAAGGAAGATATTTATTTGAAGAAAAGATGAATTTGGTTTGCACTACCTATAAGATACCCATTTTTTTTTAATCTTTCCCTGCAAGGTATATGAAAATAGGAATTTGAGTTGCTGAGGACAGATTCACAATAGGAGTATTAATTTAGCAGTAATCAATAGTTTGGCTACTTTTTTTTTTTTAAATGAGAGATTATCAAATGCTTATAAATAGAATAGTGGTAAAATATTGAATCCATAGAAAGACTGATATTTCTGTGATAGATAGAATACAAAAGAGTAGTGAAGCAGGGAGGATCAGAGAGGCACGAAGAGCAGTAGAAGTATGATGATGTATGATGTAAATTAAGTGATTAGACTAAGTAGTGACAGTTTTCAAAATTATGTGAGAAGTCCAGTACAATGGTGATTTCAAAATTGTCTTTTAGATTTGACATTCTGGTGCTTATAGGTTTTCTGGTGCACTGTCATTGTGAATGAGAATTATTAAAGTTTAGAAATTGTGGAGATTTACTGCTCTTTTGATAAAATTTGTTGAGAACTGAGAGTATGTAGGGAATAGCCGAAGTAAGAAACAGGGTCAAGGGAGAATGACTCAGTAATGACTTGAAAATAAACTTTTTAATAATATTAAGCTAAAAAAATCAGTAGAGAGGAAGATTTCAAAACTGTGGCACTAAAAAAGCCATATTTTCAATATATGGAATAGCATGGAATCCATAGCAAAGTGTGCTTACTTTGTATAAAAAAGTCATTCTCTGTGAATAAAGATAAGGAGGGAGTGTGGGTGCAGGTGATCTGAAAGTGAGGAGATATGTAAGTTTTATGGCATGAATCACCCCAGTGGTGTCAAGTTTTCTAATAGTTACTGAAGAGAAAGGGAGAAAATGCTGAACAAGGTTACTGAGAAGGTCTTGAATTTGACGTGATGCCGAACAAATCTTTCTAAACTCTGTCCTACCTTTACATTTTAATTTTGTCATTCAGGTTAAACCTGAAATCAGTGAGCAATAAAGACAAAGATTTGAAACTTCTATGCTGGGAATACTCTGTTATTTCACTATTTGATATATCTAGTAACTTGATTGTTCATTAGCATCCACTTTAGTATTGTATGTCATAATAGTTGAAATGCCTCCCTCAGTACCTAAATTCTTCTAAATGACAAGAAGTATTAGATCAATAAGATATGGCAAGATAATTTGACTACCTTAATTCCTCAATAAAAATAAACTTTATATTATGAAGAATATTTTTTTCTGTTTCACATCTCAGCATGTTTTTGTGATTTCTGCCTAGATCATTTTTTTCTTCAGCTTCTGTTGTTTATTCTTATGACAAAGATGACACCCAACATTCTAAACCTTTGTTAGTTCAGGTAAGACTTAGGTTTTTTTCTTAAAGGTTTCTTGTGGAACTTCTTTAAAATATGAATATTTTGTAATTACTAATATATTATTTTAAACATTCATTGAAATTGAATAATTTGGGCTAATTTGTATTTTTACCTGTCACAAATTTATTAGGTAATTGACATAAATGTTAAAGTACTAAGCTAGCTAAAATAATAAATATGATTAACATTTTTGGGATGTTCATTTTTATAATTTCTACATCTGTTTTTCTTCCTGTATTATTTTTTCAGATGGATTGCAATTACCATGGATATATTGCAGGTTTTCCAAATTCTCTTGTGTCACTCAACACTTGTTCGGGACTCAGGTTGTGGTCTACTTAGATATATTTAATTTGTTAATATTAGTTCCTTATAGTCTATGAGTTGATTTTCATATATCTTTCCTAGTTCTACCATCACCTTTATTTATCTAATTTCCTAAGGAATACTGATAAAATAGAATAGGTTACCCTGGTAACATCTGGCCCTGTAGCTGGATGTGACAGGATCTGCTACCTGAGATTTTTTAAAAAATATTTATTTATTTATGCATACAAGAACTGGGGTACAGGCCAGAGGTGTTGGGTGTGAGAGGATCACCAGAGACAGAGTGGAGAATAGAACAGGCAGATTGACTGAAATACACTGGAGCAGTGGGCGAGATAAGAGAGGTCTGCTGTGCCATGTGGGTATCTCCCTGGCTGGGGATTGAACTCATGCTTCAGTGGCTGAAGATAGTTCATAGGCTGTGTCTTAACCCCTTGCACCACCAGGGAGGCCCTGCTGGTGATTTTTGAGCAATTTTGAATGTAGGGGTGTTGGTGATCTCTATGTAGCTACTTTGTTTTTTGAAATTCTTGGGTTGGTTTGTTTGTTTTTGCTGATTCCTTAACTTCCCAGAGTTATTCATAAATGCAGAGTCCTGAATGTGATAGAAACCTTTGTTCTGTTCCCAGTCATTTTGTAAGCATGAATTTCCTCCAGTTCTGCCCACACAAAGAAATGATTTAGGACACTGTCAGAGGAGAGTTAGGAGTATCAAAAAGGAATCTAAGTCTATACATGAGAGTGCCTATAGAACCTACCGACTGGCTTAGAAAAATCTTTATTAGAGGAAGTGGATTATGCCATTACCATGCTTCCTTTAGATAGTCCAGATATTTCTCTTAGAATATTTTAAATATAAGCAATATACACCCCTGTGGCATTACTGGTCCAGTTCTGGAATAACACCTCAAAGAAAAAAGAAAGCAGAAAAACTAAGGTGACGTTAAATGTAAAAAAAAATATTCTGGGCAAACTTTCTCATTAGAATATTAGATTATAGTTTTGGTAGGATCATTTCAGACTTGTTTTAATTATTTTAACATTCAGGGGAACAATGCAGTTCAAAAACATCTCATATGGAATTGAACCAATGGAGGCTGTATCAGGATTCATGCACATGATTTATGAAGAAAAAAAAGATAAAATTAAAATTCCTCTGTTAGGAGGAAATGTCACTTACAGCCGTAATGATTTAATGTATGATGTCATAACAAGTATAGAAGTAAGTGTTGACTTTATAATTTTAACTTATTATAAATTTATAAATGAAAATGCCTTTAAAGCAAAATTTGGTGACTTGCAAATTTCTTTTTTTAGTTATTTTATTTTATTTTTTATTTTTTTTTACATCATTGTCCAGACTTGCAAATGTTAAGATCATTTTACTTTTACATCATGATCCTGCATGACTTTTAAAATGGATAGAAAATGCTGCCAAGATTTTTGTTAGGGTTGTTATTATATGAAAATTTTGTAAAGTTTAGATTATTAATCCAGGAAACGCGAATGTAAGATAAAAGAAAACAACAATTTCCACATGTGACATTTGTGTAATTAATCTAATTGTTCCTTTTATACATTTATTCTGATAATTTAGATGAAAGTTAAAGTATCATCTGATCTGGATTTCTAAGTCAAGTCTTTGTTTCATGATAATTCAGATATGAGTACTATCAGAGCCTTACAGAATGTATGTTTATAGGTTTGTGATAAATTCTTCCACAAAAACCTGTACATTGCCATATGTAACATTCTTTGTTATCTGAAATTATCATTTACTATGAACTTCAGTAATATTTTCTAATATAGTTTGCCAGAAATATTTAGCCAATTGTTTTTAAATAATTGGTTATTAAAAATATAGCCCCTTATGGAAGGTTATGAAAATTACCCCAAGACTGATGAAAGAAAAGCCTTATAGTATAAAGTCATTATTTCCAGTTGTTGCTGTTACTAAAATCAGAACATGGGTTCTATTATAACTTCAGATGTCACTGAAAGTTCTTATTAACCACAGGTACTTTTTTGATTGGAATTTTCTAAATAGTACATACATTTTGTATTTGAAAACAGCCTTCTTATGTTATCAATACCAATGTGTCTTTCATTTTATTTCTGAAAATAAATCCAATAGAAAGATAAATTTTTGAAAATTCCTTATGACTCGTGTGGTGTGTTTTTCAGAGAACTGATTTTTCCAAGTTATTCCTTCGTTATCTTGAAATGTACATTATTGTGGATAAAAAATTGGTAGGTGTTCTTTTAATACATTGTTATTTAAAAAGATTTAACATTTGACTTAAGCTTGATTTCAATGATGTAATAAAAATGTTAGGCCATTTTTTGATGTTTATTTTGCTTTTGGAATTAATAGATCCTTAAAATTTATCTTGCATCTGGAACATTTAAGCGCTTTTGCAAAGTGAAGCATCTTTTCATTTTCTAAAATTTGTCAACTCTTCTTCTTTCTTTTAAAAGGGCTACATCCTCGGGCCTCCCCGGTGGCGCAGCGGTTGAGCGCTGGGTTGCGAAGATGCCTGCAGCCTCTGCAGCGCCGGTTTGATCCCTGCCTGCTCCCCGGCCACCGGAGGAGGGTCCCAGATGGCGCGCAGACCTCTCCTGCCGCCCACTGCTCCCCTCAGCAGTGTACTTCGGTCCTTCTACCTGCTCTGCTCCCCGCTCTGGCTCTGGTGAATTCTCTCGCCCTCCCGCGCTTCTGACTGTACCCAGTGCTTGTATAAATAAATAAAAAAATAAATAAACCTTTAAAAAAAAATAAAATAAAAGGGCTACATCCTCAATGAACAAAACTCTTTCTATGAGGATCACATCAGTCTGAACTGTGCCCTAAGCTCCCTGGCAGTTGGGCGGGGGGTCACTGTCTTGGTTCTGCAGCTGCAGAGCCACAGAGCTCTCTGCTCAAATGCTGTTGCTGTAATTGGTGCAATATCTCTTTGGGTTGCTGGGAAACTCTGACTCAGTTTTCTGACTATTTCGGGGGCTGAAGGCTACATGCGACAGTGGTCAGGGTTATAGATTATCTTCCCTGCATGTGAATATTCTATATTTAACATTAGATGACATATAAAATTAGATATGACATATAGATACCATGTCACACATAGTCATTAGGTATAACATATATATGTAATACATTTGATACTATTGAATTAATGTTGAATTTCTTGAGTTTGATACTGACATAATGGACAAACAGGACAAAGTCCTAATTCTTAGTAAGTATAGGCTGAGGTGCTTGCAACTTATTATTAAATATTGAGAAAAATTGCTATTAATAAGAATGAAAGATGTATGAATGAAGCTTTCATTTTAAAGTGTTAATCTACAAAACAAGAGAAGTAAAAGAACAAGAATTAATACAAAATATAAATTAATGATAATAAATGTAAACATTAAAATAAGTAAGTTCAAGAACTGTAAGTTCAAGAAAAGTAAGTTCAAGAACTGGCTTGTGGAAAGATGAATGGGGAGAAAGTATAATCAAGTAAAAATGAGGTAAGCATGTTAGGTTGTCAAAAAGAATATAGAAGATGTAACTAGTATTAGAGACAATCACAACAAACAAACAAAATAACAAACATGAAAATTTGTCTGTCTCCAAAAAAGGTATGAATTTAAATCAAACCATCACCTTGTATATCTTAAACATGCAGTTATAATTACTTGTACATCTTAAACATATACACTTACATATTATACATATATACACACATATATAATTGTCATTTATATCTTAAAAAACTAGAAAAGAATTTGAATGCATCATTGCCAGTAAAAGTAGGTTTACATGTTTGTATCTGCATGGGGGTTATATGTTCCACCTCTACAAATGTATGCTTTCACACTCTACCCACAATTGATGCCCCTTTCCTCCCCCACTCCCACCTCAACACCCTCCCCATCTGGTTGCCTCAGTATTGCAGTCAGATGTTAGAGTATTATTGGTTTGGTTTTGACTGACCCTGTTATGTTGCTTTATATCCATAGATAGTGAGAGCATCCAATATTTTTCTTTATTTTTTTTTTTAAGATTTATTTATTTGTACAAGCACTGGGTAGAGTCAGAAGCGCGGGAGGGTGAGAAAGAATTCACCAGAGCTAGAGCGGGGAGCAGAGCAGGCAGAAGGACTGAAATACACTGCTGAGGGGAGCAGCAGGCAGCTGGAGAGGTCTACGCGCCGTGTGGGACCCTCCTCTGGTGGCTGGGGAGCAGCCGGGGATCAAACCAGTGCTGCAGAGGCTGCGGGCAGCTTCACAACCCAGCGCTCAACCACTGCACCACCGGGGAGGCCCCAATATTTTTCTTTTTCCTTCAAACATTTTTCTTACCATTATCATCTCTAGTTCCATCCATGTAGTTGCAAATGGCAGGAACTCTTTTTTATAACTGAGTAGTATTCCACTGTGGTATGCATATATGTATACATGTAACAAAAACATTTTTCAGATAACTCCTCTGTTCTTGGCCACAGCCATGTTTATAATATCTAAGTTATAAAGGAGAGATCTTTAAAATGTTTCAGGTTGACATTATTCATATACCAATAAATTCTAGACTATAAGGAAAACATGCAGCTTAATAATTTTAAATAGTTCTCTACTAAGCAGCATGCATTTGCTGCTGAGTAATAAACTCACATAAACAAATGAACTGCAGACTCAGCTTTCTTAAAGCTACAAACTTTTAAAATACTGTATTAATTTTGGTAGTATGTTGATAGAATGTAACATTTTGATCAAGGAATGTAATGAGGATTTAATATTAAGTAAAATATTAATGAAATGTATTACATCAATTTGATTCATCAATAAGTCAAAAGGCAAATCATTTGGTGTGCTTCAAAATTCATTTGATAAAATTTTAACTCCAAGTTTTATAAAAATTTGTGTACAGAAAGATTCATAAATAGATATTTCTGAACATAATCTAAAACACTGATCTTAAACTGAACACCACTTATTGATGAAAAATGTATAGTTTCTAATGAAAGCAGGAGCAAAGCTAATATACTACTTACATGCTATCAATATTGTCCTGACATTTTAAACTAATTAGATATAGAAAGAGCTTATTGGAATGAAGAAAATTTTAAAGCATGAGTTACATTATGATGTCCATGATGTAATCTGAACAGTTTCCAGATATGTTTTAATATGGTTTTCCCTCTATGCATGCATTTTTGTTTATGATTATATGTATTTAGAAATAATTATCTTATGAAATACCACATTAAAATTATGATTCAGTTATAAGAAATAAATAATGCCATAATTTGAGTAGATTACAAATTTAAAAAAAATCATACTTTTAAATATTTTTATTAAATTGTTTGTACATCATTGTTGTTTTCCTGGATTTCAGTGGGAATATATGGTTACTTTTGAATTTAGTACTTTTTGTATGTAAAGGGTATGTGATATATTAATGATCTCTACTAGTTTTTAAAAAATAATTCATCTTTTTCAGTTTGATTACATGGGATCTGATATAAAGATTGTAACACAAAAGGTTGTTCAGATAATTGGCCTTGTGAACACAGTAAGTTTTAAGACCTTTTTTTAATGTACTTTATGAAAGAATAGCTACTATGAGTATAGTATTTTTCTATGTATAGTTGAAGAGTTTCCTTACTCAAAATGAGATGTCTTAAATATTTTTAAATTTAATACTCTATTAAAAATTTTCATTCACCTTTTTCTTTTAGATGCTTGCCAAGTTAAAAATAAGCATTTTAATATCTTCCATAGAAATTTGGTCAAATAAAAACAAAATTTCTACTACAGGAAATCCAAATCACATATTATTTAGGTTTGTAGAATGGAAAAGAAGCCACCTCTTTGGATCTCATCAGGTTGCATACTTGTTGGCGTGAGTAGTGTTCCATATTTGCTTAGTGTTAAAGGAATTACACAAAATGATTTAATAAGTTAGTTTAAAAATAGTATATAATATATACCATGTTCTATAAATTTGATAGACACCATGGTAATTGGAAAAAAATGTAATTTTAAAGTCCTTGCCCTTAAGAAGCTAATGTAAAACAAGACTAAAAAATTTTACCAACCAATATAAATTTACCTGATGAAAGTAAAGTTAAATAATAGTATTGAAATAACCAATGGAGCTTAATTATGGGAGATACATTATCATTGATTTGCCTTGATTTACAAATGTTTGCTGTCTGTTATGGTATCTCTACATTCTTACATGCCATCTGTTTAATTCTTATGTTTTTATTTTATAATAACATGAAAATATTGAATAGTTACATTATCTAGTATCTAATATACTGATAAATCTATGCATCTTTGGTAAATACATGAATAGGGAGGTCACAGAGAATTGAATTTTCAAGGCAATAATTGTAGAGGGAATCAAAATGAAAACTATAACCATTAGTGCAATGGCACTTTACATTAACTATTAGGTCTCATCCTTAAACTTCTGGATATTTATCAGACTCAAAATTTGACCATATCTATATTGAAGTATTCTTAATATTGGTGGTTTGAAACAAAGGAAATAGTATAATTCAGAGTAGCATGGAGTTTAGAGTATAGTAATTGTCTAATCATGTTTGCTGCTGTGAAAACTATCACTGGTAATACCACTCTGAAATGGAAAATTATTATTTTATTATTAACTGGAAAATTACTGTTTTATTAGCTTTAAAGAAAACCCTAGTTTTATAGGATCCACATTTCCTGGAGAAGTATGTAATAAGGATTCTGCTGCAGGAGTTGCTGTGGTATGTAATTATTTTCCAGTGTATTCTCATGTTTCAAAATTTCCTAAATATTTTAATGCATGAGTTAATATATTACTTAATTTGCTCATCCTTTAATGGTTTTTATATTACTAATTAGAGCATACAATTTTAACTGTACATAAAAAGAGTATATGAGCTGAGCTGATTGTGAAGTCATATTGTTTTTAAAAATATACCTAAATTAAACATTATTTTGAAAAATAATGGAATAATTTTATCAAGTTTATATAGTCAATGTAATTTTAATATTCTCTATTAAAACATATTTTTCTTTCTAAATTAATAATTGGTATACATGTATTTTTTATGAACTGACATTCTTTTTTTATTTTAATGTAACTATTGCATCCAGTTCTTTATGATATTTTTGCTATTATCTTGTTATTGATTTATGTTATAGCTCACCTTTTTTCTTTGCTTTTAATTTCTGCAGTTTTAATTTAGTGTGTTATATAAATATAAATATATTTGTGTATTTACTATATTGAGAATTTTTAGGAGGAATCTATAATTTATGCATTGTTACTTTTCATCAGTTATAGGAATTTTTCTGGCATTATTATTGGTATTCTCATGTACAAAAGTGAAGTACAGATTTTTCTGAATGTTTGAGAAAATGAAGACTATATTACCTTCAAGATGTTATTGTTGCTCCAATGACAAATTATTTCACCTAGTGTTGGTTATTAATCGTTTCTTAATTAAGAGTTTACTTTATAATAATAGTTTTAAGTTCATAGCAAAATTGAAGGAAATGTATAGCTATTTCCCATAACACCACATACCCTTACCCAGGTGTAGCCTCCCACTTTATCAACATTCCCCACCAGTATGATATATTTGTTACAATTGATGACCCTACACTGCCATATCATAAACACCCAAAAGTTCATAATTTTTTTTTAAAATATACTCATTTTTTTTTAAGATTTATTTATTTATACGAGCACTGGGTACAGTCAGAAGCGCGGGAGGGTGAGAGAATTCACCAGAGCCAGAGCGGGGAGCTGAGCAGGCAGAAGGACCTAAGTACACTGCTGAGGGGAGCAGCGGGCACAGGAGAGGTCTGCGCGCCATGTGGGACCCTCCTTTGGTGGCCGGGGAGCAGCCGGGGATCGAACCAGCGCTGCAGAGGCTGCGGGCAGCTTCGCAACCCAGTGCTCCACTGCTGTGCCACGGGGAGGCCCCTCATAATTTATTTTGAAGTTCACTCTCAGTGATATTTATTCTATCAGTTCATTAGCTTTTCAACTATTTTGTTTCTACACTATTTTCTTCTTTCTTTCAGGTACCCAGTTAAGTATATTTATTATGGAAACTCTCCACAAATGTTCTGTAATCTCTGATCTTAGTTTCTCCCTTTTCTTCATGCTACATTTTGATGTTTTCTTATTGCAATTCAGTATTAATATGATGGCAACTGTTTCTAAACTACTGTTAACACCCTCTATACATGAAAATTTTTGTCTCTTTTTGACTCTAGAATTTATATTGTTTTGTTAGAATTGCTAAATTATTTGGATTTATCTATGAGGTATCCAGAATGTTTATATATTTGTTTAAATGCACTTAGAATAAAATTTAAAGTAAACATAAAATGAATTAGTGTAAAAATATAATCTGAACAGCTTCTTTTTTATTTCATATATATATTTTACATCATTCTTCATTTTTTTAACAATGTATGCTTTCTCCTCTCAGGTGTAGTCTCCATGAAATTCCCACCACCAATTCAGCCATGTCCCATCACCAGAGTCCCTTGTGCTCTTCCCACCCTTGTTTTGTTCCAACTCCCTCCTCCTTCCATGCAGAATGTCTCTGATTTATTTTTGACTATTGAATTTGATTTTTAATTTATTATAATTACTTTTTCTCCCCCTGAGCCCTTGTTTTCTCTATATTCCTCCTATATGTGAAACCATCCAATATTTTTCTTTTTCCTTCTGACTTATTTTCCTGAGCATAATCTCTGCCAGCTCCACCCATGTTGCTGCAAATGGCATGAGTTTATCATTTTTGGTTGCTGAGTAATTTTCCATTGTGTATATATACCACATCTTCTTGAGCCAATCATCTATTTTTGGACATTTGGGTTGTTTCCAGGTTTTACCTATTATAAATAGTGCTGCAATAAACATAGGGGTGAAGGTGTCCTTTTGGATTAATGTTTTTGTGTCCTTTGGGTAGATTCCTAGGAGTGGAATTGCTAGATCATATGGAAGCTCCATTTTTAGTAGTTTGAGGAAGCTGCACACAGCTTTACATAGTGGTTGGACTAGTTTGCATTCCTACCAACAGTGTAATAGAGTTCTTTTTCCTCCACATCCTCGCCAGCATTTGTTGTTGCCAGTTTTTTATTTTTTTATTTTTATTTTTAAAGATTTATTTATTTATACAAGAACCGGGGTACAGGCCAGATCTTCAGGAGGGTGAGAGAATTCACCAGAGACAGAGTGGGTAACAGAGCAGGCAGACTGATGAAATACATTGCTGAGGGGAGCAGCAGGCGCAACAGGAGAGGTTTGTCGCGCCATGTGGGACAGGCAGCTGGGATTGAACTGGCACTGCAGAAGCTGCAGACAGTTTCACAGTGCAGTGCTCAACCACCTGTGCCACCAAGGGAGGCCCTGTTGCTAGTTTTTTAATATGTGTCATTCTCACTAGTGTAAGGTAGTATCTCATTGTGATTTTAATTTGCATTTCTCTGATTACAAGAGGTGTTGAACATTTTTTGAATGCTTTCTCAGCATCTATTGATATGATCATTTGCGTTTCCTCTTTGGAGAAGTGTCTTTTTAGCTCTTCTACTCATTTTTTGACTGGATTATATATTTTGTTTTTGTTTCGTCTTGTCAGCTCTTTGTAGATCTTTGTGATCAGTCCCTTAGCATTAGTATTGTGTGCAAAATTTTCTCCCAATCAGTGGTGTATCTCTTTGTTTTGATTACTATCTCTTTTACTGTACAGAAACTCTTTTATTGATATAGTCCCAGAGGTTCATCTTTTCCTTCACTATGTTTGCTTTCAGTGATGTGTCTTTAAAGGTGTTACTGAGATGTATGTCATGTATTGTTTTGCCTAAATTTTCTTCTACGTATTTTCTGGTTTCAGATCTTATGTCTAATTCTTTAATTCACTTTGAGTTGGCTTTTGTGCATGGTTTGAGGTTGTAGTCTTTTTTTTTATTTTTTATTTTTTTATTATTTTTTTTAAGAGGCATGTATTTTATTTATTTATTTATTTATTTGTTTGTTTGTTTGTTTGTTTGTTTTGTTTGTTTATACATGCACTGGGTACAATCAGAAGCACGGGAGGGTGAGAGAATTCACCAGAGCCAGAGTGGGGAGCAGAGCAGGCAGAAGGACCGAAGTACACTGCTGAGGGGAGCAGCGGGCAGCAGGAGAGGTCTGCGTGCCATGTGGGACCCTCCTCGGGTGGCCGGGGAGCAGCCGGGGATCGAACTGGTGCCACAGAGGCCGAGGGCAGCTTCACAACCCAGCGCTCAACCGCTGCGCCACCGGGGAGGCCCTGAGGTTGTAGTCTTGCTTCATTTTTTTGGATATAGCAGTCCTGTTTTCCCAGCACCATTTACTGAAAACACTGTCCTTGTCCCATTGCATATAGTTTGCTCCTTTGTCAAAGATTAGTTGTCCATATGTATGTGGCTTTATTTCTGGGCTTTCTGTTCGATTCCTTTGGTCTGTGTGTCTGTTTTTGTTCCAGTACCATACTGTTTTAATTACTATGACTTTGTAATATAGTTTGAAATCTGGGAGTGTGAAACCTCCATTCCCCTTCCTTTTAGTCAGGAGAATTTTGGCTATTCAAGGTTTTTTGTGGCTCCATATGAATTTCATCAATATTTGTTCTATTTCTTTGAAGAATGTCATTGAAATTTTTATGGAAATAGCATTGAATATGTAAATTGCTTTTGGTAGGATGGCCATTTTAATAATGTTAATTCTTGCAACCCATGAGCAGGGGATGTCTTTCTATTTCTTTGTGTCTTCTTCTATTTCTTTTAAAATATTTTATAATTTTATTTGTATTGGCCCTTCCCCTCTTTTATTAGGTTTATTCCCAAGTATTTGATCTTTGTTGTTTCAATTATAAAAGGGATGATTTTCTTGATTTTTTCTTCTTCAGATTGATTGTTTTCATATAAGGCTACTGATTTTTGTGTGTTGATTTTATATCCTGCTACTTTACTAAATTGGTTGATTATTTTGATTAGATTTCCTATAGAGTTTTTAGGATTCTCTATATATATTATCATATCAACTGCAAATAATGATAGTTTTACTCTTCTTTCCTTATTTTGAATCCCTGTATGCCTTTTTCTTATTTCTCTGGCTAGGACTTCCAGTATTATATTGAAAAGCAGTGGTGAGTCTTGTTGAGTATTATATTGAGTATAATATTGAAAAGTTGAGTATTATATTGAAAAGCAGTGGTCTGTCTTGTTCCAGACCTTAAGGGAAAGGTTTTCAGCTTTTCACCATTGAGACAAACAGTCGCCCTGGATTTGTCATATATGGCCTTTATTATGTTAAGATATGTTCCTTCTATCCTGAGAATTTCAAGGGCCTTTATCATAAACAGATGCTGAACTTTGTTGAATGCTTTCTCGGCATCTATTGATGTGATCATATGGTTTTTATTTTTCTCTTTGTTGATGTGTTGGGTTATATTAATTAATTTTTGGATGTTGAACCATCCTTATGACCCTGGAATAAATCCCTCTTGGTCATGGTGAATTATATTTTTGATGCATTGTTGGATTCTGTTGGCTAGGATTTTATTGAGGATTTTTGCATCCGTGTTCATTAGAGAGATTGGCCTGTAGTTTTCTTTTTTTTGTGTTGTCCTTGTTCAGTTTTGGTATTAGTGTAATGTTGGCTTCATAAAACATATTTGGCAGTATCCCTTCCTTCTCAATTTTCTGAAAGAGTTTGTGGAGGATAGGCACTAGTTTGTTTCTGAACATTTGGTAAAATTCATTTGTAAAGCAGTCTGGTTCTGGGCTTTTGTTTCTTGGCAGGGTTTTGATTACCGTATCAATTTCACTGTTTGTAATTGGTCTGTTTAGGTCTTCTATTCTTCTTTATCTAGCTTTGGATGATTGTAAATATAGGAGTTTGCCCATCCCTTTAAGATTGTTGAACTTGTTTGCATATAACCATTCATAGTAATCTCTGATTATTTCTTTGATTTCTGCTGTGTCTGTTGTAATTTCTCCTCTTTGGTTTATGATCCTATTTATTTGTGCTTTCTCCCATTTTTTCTTTGTGATCCAGGCTAGAGGTTTGTCTATTTTGTTTATTTTTTCAAAGAACCAACTTTTGGTTTCATTGATCTTTTGGTTTGTTTTCTTAACTTCTATTTCATTCATTTCTGCTTTGATTTTTATTATTTCCTTTCTTCTACTGGCTTTTGGGTTTTTTGTTGTTCTTTTCCCAGTTTTTTAAGGTGGGGCATTAGGTTGTTTCTTTGAGTTCTTTTTTTGTTTCTTGATGTGAGCCTGTTGTTATATATTGTTATATATTTTCCTCTTATAACTGCTTTTGCTGTATCCCATATGTTCTGGGTGGTTGTGTCCTCATTGTCATTCATCTTGAGTTATTTTTTACTTTCTTCTTTGATGTCCTCATTGATCCAATGATCTTCCAGTAGTGTGGGCTTCAATCTCCATTAGATAGGAGTGTTCCTTGTTTTCTTTTCATGGTTTGTTTCTAGTTTGATGCTGTTATGGTCAGAGAAGATAGTAGATATATGATTTTGATCTTGATGTATCTGTTGATTTTTGCATCTCAGTATGTGATCAATTTTGGAGAATGATCCATGTGCACTTGAGAAAAATGTGTACTCATATTTTTTTTGGTGCAGTGCCCTATAGATGTCTGTTAGGCCCATGAGGTCTAGGTCCTTATTTATTTATTTATTTATTTATTTTTAGATTTATTTATTTATTTATGAAAGAACCGGGGTACAGGCCCGATGCACTGGAGGGTGAGAGGATTCCATAGACAGAGCGGGGAACAGAACTGGCAGACTGGCGAAAAACACTGCTGAGGGGAGCAGCAGGTGAGATAGGAGAGGTCTGCCACACAATGTGGGACCCTTGCCGGCTGGCCTGTATCGAACCAGTGCTGCAGAGGCTGCGGACAGCTTCACAGCACTGTCTCAACCACCTTCACCGCAGGGGAGGCTGTAGGTCCTTGCTTAGAACTCTAGTGTCCTTGCTTATTTTTTGTCTCATTGATCTATCCATTGGTGAGAGTGGTGTGTTGAAGTCTCCTACCATGTATGTATTTTTCTCTAATGTCTGTTTTTAGAGATGATAATAATTGTCTGACATATTTTGGTGTTCCTTCATTTGGTGAGTATATGTTGATAAGTTTTATGTCTTCCTGATGTATTGTCCACTTAATCATAATGTACTGATCCTCTATGTCTTTTTTTACCTTTTCAGTTCGAAGTCTATTTTATCTGATATGAGTATAGCTGTTCCTGCCTTCCTTTTTGGTCCATTTGTGTGTAGGATTGTTTTCCATTCTTTTACTTTCAATCTATGTTTATCTTTTGTAGTTAAATATGTTTCCTGTAGACAGCCAATAGTTGGGTTCTATTTTTAAATCCAGCCCACTACAGTATTTCTTTTTATTAGTAAGATTAGACCATTTACATTTAGAGTTAATATTGACACATTGGCATCCATATTTGCCATTTTCTTTGCCTTTTTGTGATTGCATTCCTTACCTTGTTCTGTTCCTCCTATTCATTCCTCTGTTGGTTTTATTTCTAGGGTTCCTTGTAGTATTTTTTGGAGTGGGGTTTCAGTAGTAATGAACTTCTGGAGATTTTGATGTCTGAGAAGGTTTTTATTTTTCCATCATAGAAGAAGGAAAGCTTCACAGGGTAGAGTATTCTTGGTTAGAATTTGTTGGCTTGGAGTTTGCTGAATATGTCCCTCCATTCTCATCTGAAGTGTTTCTTCAGAGAAGTCGATGTCAGCCTGTATGATTTTCCTTTGTAGGTTATCTGTTTTTTTCACCCTTGTCAGTTTCATTATTTTTTCCTTGTCATAGACCTTTGGATATTTTACTATTATGTGTCTTGCTATTGCTTTCTTTTCATTGTGGTAATTTGGTGTTCTTCCATCTTCCTGTATTTCTATTTTCATTTCCTTCTTCATGCTTGGGAAGTTTGCTTCAATTACCTCCTTAAATAGTTTTTGGTTCTTTCATCTCTTGTGGTATCCAGAGGCCCCCAATGTAGAGACCAGCCCTAGGAGGCACCTCCTGATGCCCCTCCCACTGGTGGTTAAGTGGTATGTCCTTCCTGGAGAAAACTCAGCTAAGCTTCCCGGTTTCAGGTGTAGGTGGTTGGTGATTTTGTTGTGATCACTAGGTGGGTCCTAGTAGGCTTTCAGAACTGCTTATTGCAGCAGGTCTCTGGAAAAGAGGGTTGGGAGGAGAAATGCTACAACAAAGGGCTCACCAGCCCTATTTCCTATGGAAGTGGAGAGGCTTAGGAGCTCCACCATGGCATGCACAATAATAACCTCAAAAAGAAAAGCAGTTGTAGAAGTAGAAAGTCCAGAAACAAACTCACAGGGATCACTGGAACCCATTTTAGAGACTGCCTACTACCAAAGGAATGCAGAATTATTTAAACCAAATACTTAAAGAATTTTTTTTAACTCAAGCTGTAAAATGTGGTATTTAAGACTATTAGATTTGCTAAGATAACTGGTATTGCCTTAAGATAACTGTTATTGCTTATTTCTCTATCTTTAATAAGTTTATCATCCATTTTAATTATATATGAATAATAGATCTTGGATGCATTTATGAATTTTAAAATGAGTTTTATATGATAATTTTTTTAATCATGGTAAGTAATGTTTTTTTTTTTAATAATTGAATAAGTGTTTTTCTTTTCTTATATGTAGTATCCAGAGGGCTTGTCTTTGGAATCATATGCTGTCAGTATTGTGCAGTTGCTTGGCCTTAATTTGGGATTAACTTATGACAATAATGACACCACCTGCTATTGTTCAGGAGATATTTGCATAATGTCACCAGAAGCACTGTAAGATAATTTTCTATATTAAATACACCTATTCCTTTTTTCTTCTTTTTGGTTAGGAAACCCATGCTTCTAATAAGTAAACTGAAGTAATTTGACAGTTATAGAACACTACCCACAACTACAGAATATACTTTCTCTTCAGGTGCAATGGAATACACGCCAAAATAGTCCTGATACTGCCCCTGGTTCTCCATGCCTAGGGACACACTCTTCCATCTAACAACATTCCTGAAACTGACATATATATTTTTCTTTTGATCAGATTGAAGGAAACTTCTAGGGGCAAGCCATATGAATTGTGTAATTTAAGTGATTCCACATAAAGTTGAATGTATTGATATTTGCAGATAAAGCTGACATTGTACAAACATTACAAATATAATTCATTTTAATAATTTAAACTTATTTTTTCAGACTTTAATTTTTTTGAATAATTTTTTTTAATTTTCTCACGTTGTTGTTCAGTTTTATACAATATTTAATTTTTCTGCTCAGGTCTAGTCCCCGTAAATCTCCCACCACTACATCATCTGTGAACCATAGTCTGTTGTGCTCTACCCTCACCTGTTTTGACCCATCTTCCTTACCCACCCCAGCTTTATGGCTCAGATCTATAGTTTGCCTGCAAGTTTTCTCTCTCTGTTTTTTGACCCTTTATTCAGTTTACTTGTATTCCTTTTGTAAGTGAAGCCATCAATATTTTTCTTTTCCCTTCTGACTTATTTCACTGAGCATAATACCTTCTGGTTCCATCCATGTTGCTGTGAATGGCATGTGTTTATCTTTTTGTGAATGCTGAATAGTATTCCATGGTGTATATACACCACATTCTCTTGATCCTTTCATCTGTTTCTGGGTATTTAGGTTGTTTCCATATCTTAGCTATTGTAAATAGTGCTACAATAAACATAAGAGTGCAGGTTTCCTTTCAAATTAATGTTTTTGTGTCTTTTGGGTAGAGTCCTAGAAGTGGAATCACTGGGTTATACAGTAGCTCCATTTTTAGTAATTTGAGGAAACTCCCCACAACTTTTCACAGTGGTTGGGCTAATTTGCATTTTCACCAGCAGTATATGAGAGTTCTGTTTTCTCTATATCCTCATTAGCATTTTTTTTTGGTTTTTTTTTTTTTTTAACATGGGCCATTCTCTCTTGTGTGAGGTGGTATCTCATTATGGTTTTGATTTGCATTTCCCTGATTATAAGTGAGATTGAGCATTTTTTTTCATATGCCTGTTGGCCATTTGCATTTCCTCTTTGGAGAAGTGTCTTTTAAGTTCTTCTGACCATTTCTTGACTGGATTGCTTGCTTTCTTTTTGTTGAGTTGTGTAAGCTCTTTATAGATCTTTGATATCAGTCCCTTATCCATTGTGTGGAATACAAATATTTTCCCCCAATCAGTAGGTTGTCTTTTCACGTTGGTTAATGTCTCTTTTGCTGTATAGATGCTTTTCAGTTTGATGTAGTCCCAGCTGTTTATTTTTCTTTAATTTTCTCTGCTTCTGGGGAGGAGTCCACAAAGATGTTTCTGAGGTATATGTCATGCAGTCTTGTGCCTTCTTTTATGTATTTCATGGTTTTAGGTCTTACATTCAAGTCTTTTATCCATTTTAAGTTGGTTTTTGTGTATGGTGAGAGATAGTAATCTAGTTTCATTTATTTGCATCTAGTGTTCCAGTTTTCCTAACACCATTTCTTGAAGAGAATTTCCTTGTTCTAATGCACATTCTTTGCTCCTATTTCATAGATTAGTTGACTGTAAACATGTGGCTTTATTTATGGGTTTTCAACTTGATTCCATTGGTCTGTGTGTCTGTTTTTGTCCCAGTACCATGCTGTTTTGAATATTATGACTTTGTAGTAGTCTAGTACAGAGTACTTCCATTCTCCCTCTTTTTAGTCAGGAGAGCTTTGGCTTCTTGAGGTCTTTTGTGATTCCATATGAATTGAAGCAATATTTGTTCTATTTCTTTGAAGAATGCTGTTGAGATTTTTATTGGATTGAATTCTGCATTGAATTGAATTGGATTCAATTGCATTGAATCTGTAAATTGCTTTTGGTAGAATGACCATTTTGATAATGTTAATTCTTCCAGTCCATGGGCAGGGAATATCTTTCCATTTCTTTGTGTCTTCTATTTTTTTGTAACCATTTTTTGTAATCTTTTTTGTATAGGTATTTCACCTTCTTTGTTAGGTTTATTCCCAGGTATAAGATTTTTTTTTTTGGTATGATTGTAATTGGGATGGTTTTCTTGATTTTTTTTCTTCTTCAGACTGATTGCATTTAGGAGTACTACTGATATTTTTATCGATTTTGTAACCTGATACTTTACTGAACTGGTTTATTGTTTTAATTACTTTTTCTGTGGAGTTTTTAAGATTCTCTCTATATATTATACCATCTGTAAATAATGAAAGTTTTACTGCTTTCCCTATTTGGATTTCTTGTTTGTCTTTCTCTTGCCTAATTATTCTAGCTAGGATTTCCAATATTATATTGAAAAACAGTGGTGAGAGTGGATATCCTTATCTTGCTCAAGATCTTAAAGGGAAGGCTTTCAGTTTTTCACCATTAAGAATATTTGCTGTGGCAAAAACATTAGTTCAAAAGGATACCTGCACTCCTATGTTTATTGCAATGCTATTTTAATAGGTAAAACTTGGAAACAACCCAAATGTCCCAAAATTGATGAGTTGGAGTGGGGAATATCTTAGGCTCACAGAGACAAATTTTTTGGCCAGATATCTATTGTTGTAGGTGTTCTACTGCCTGTGGGAGAATGTTTCCTTGACTTTGCTTTTGTTGTTGTAGGACCTCTGTTGGCAATGTGATTCTGCTCCTGGTGACTCTTGGTAGTAGCATGGAGTCAGCAGATCAGGAGAGCAGTTCTTTGGTAAATTATTATTAACAGAAACCCCAATTGATCTGCACTGGTGGTATTTCTGACAAAATTCCAATTTGATATCATGGAAAGAGCGAGCATATCCAGGGTGCCCTTTGTTGCTAGATTGTGGTTCTGTAATGATTGACTTTTGTTTGCTGTCTTTCACTGGATAAGAAAATATGAGATATCCAACTAATATGTTCCTCCAGTCTTGGGGTGGAGCCCCAACTGGTTTGCTCAGTCTTTCAACTTTGCAAAATTCTCCTTCATTTGCTGCTTGCCTTACTTTAAAGAGCTTATATGTATACTTAGTGAAGAGAAGCAGGGAATAAAAAGATCTATACCATCTTGTCTGACGGAAAGTGTATATTTTTATTTGAAAAATGTTTCAATTATGAAGAGCAAAAACTCCAAAATATGCACTCAAAGTTACTACAAACGTTTATACTGGCATTTATAAAAAACACAAAATTATATTAATTGATAGAAAAGCATATCGAAGATTGAAAACAAGTTTAAAATTCGCTTATTTGGCCCAGAGCAAGTAAGAATAACACTGTTCCTCTATTTAAATATTTAATAAAGGGGTAGCATAGGTAAATAATGGCTCATTTTTAAAGTAGGGTAAAAAGGGGGTCCCTATACTTCTAGAGGACAATGTTGTAAAGCAACATTAGATCCATAAAATAAATAGGATACCAATCAAAAGATTTTGATTTTGTTTTTTTATTACAAGAGTTTTCTTGTTGAAATTTGAAGTGTGTTAAAATGTATTAACAATGCAATAAACATTTTAAAAAGTGTACATATTGTTTTCCATGAAGAATAATGCTCTTTATAATTCTCTTAAATAAACCATACATTAGTGGTAAATGTAGAGATACACAGCTAAAATTTTTGTCATACTTGTGTCTTTTGTATTTTAGGTATTCTGGGGGTGTAAAAGATTTTAGTACCTGTAACTTCGATGACTTTTACTATTTTGGTTCCCATCGTGGCTTTGAATGCCTGCATAAAATTCCTCCTAATGTGCCCGTTTACAGAACTATGAATAGTATATGTGGCAATGGAATACTGGAAACAGGTGAACAGTGTGATTGTGGCACTATAGAGGTTAGTAGAGTTTTTTCAAATAGTTTTTATTCCCTATATATGTGTATAGTTGGTGGAAAATAAGATAAAAACCAGGTCTTTTAGCGGAATAAAGACCCTTTTCAGAAGACCTTTTTTGGGAGAGATGGAAGGCTTTAATCTGCTAATTTTGCTGTTTTTTGAAGAGCAAAAGTTCTTTAGATGATGTTTTATTCAAATATTACCTTTTGACAGTCTTTACTGTAAGAAGTAAACTCCAAACTTATAATCAGTGACCATAAAGAGTATCAAAGTGAAACAGGGACAGTCAGGAAAGGAGGGTGGATGCCAGAATGGCCAGAATGAAGATGCTTACCCAAGCTCTAGAGATCTACCAAAAAGCTCCAGAAGGCCAAAGTCAAAACCAAGGGCTAGAGCAATATGATATCTATACAATAGGGGTCTGTAGGCTATAGCTGAACAAAGGACTATGCCTGATAGAAGACAGGTCATTGTCTGTGGGTTATCACCTGCATGCACAATTGCAAGAGAACTCAGGCTCAGGGAACAACCAATGTGAGGTTTATTTTACAACAGTGGAAACAAAGAACTTGATATAACCACAAATGGCCAGTTATCTCACCTCAGATCCACCAGAAATATAGATGTAAAAGAGTACTGGTCAACTGTCAACAGAGCTACCAACACTGGCCAGTAGTGATGGTCAGCACTGGTCCCCCAGAGGCAGTGTCAAGAGACACTAAGTGCTAACAACTCTTTGTGAGTTTTTGGACTATACCAACAGCAAATAGCTCTTTGAGACATCAGACCTGGGGCCTTTGGTGCTCCTTTCAGGTGATGTCAGATATACGACCGTAGACCAAGTCTTTGAAAGCAGTCTTTGACTGCTCTTCCTCTTTCAGAGGTTGGCTAGTGGATGCTTCTTTTCTTCTTTCAAGGTTAGCATCTGGTCCTCCTCCTTTTGTCTTTCTTTGGAGGCTGGAACAGTGTCCCTCAGCTCCCCCAGGCCCTGGCTTATATTCTCTTTCAGGGTACACCATCTACAAGTCTAACTGGATCATTTTTCAATCCTGTGACTGATTGGACCATTTAGCACCAGTCAGCTCATAGCTCACACCTGATTGGTCCATTCCACAGTCCCACAAATACACATAAAAAGGAGGTTGCAGGGCTCTGAGGAGCCACAGCCAGAACCAGCTTGTGGTGGAGCAGTAGGGTGAGAGACCACCACTGCTTCTGCCATGGCTCCCGCCTCAGTTTCCATATCAAGAGAATTGAAGGAATATACCTTTAATAACAAGCAGTAACACAAACAGGCAAGGACATCTAAAGAATGTACTTGTTTTTCCAATGGGATAACAAAATGCATTCTTTTGCTAATCTAGGGGAAAAATAACTGTTGACAGAAGATATTAAAATATTTTAAAATGAAGTCTATCACTATTATCAATTGTAAAAATTTAGACCTAACATCTGAGTAAAACAAAGATGAAAGATGATAGAAAAGATATTGACAACAAAGTGTAGGAGTCATGTGAAAACTCTTGGAGATAATAATTGTAAAATAGGAAAATTACTATATATAATATAGACTTACATAAAAAATGTATGCACATATGTAATTTAATGGTCTAAAAGAAGAAAGAAGCCAGAGGAGAGTTTACTCTTGAAAAATTACAATTGGAATAGATAATAATTGTTTTATGTCTTTCTAACCTAAGGGTGCTCTCCTGCAGCTGTGGCAGAATTAATAGTTGTGGAAACTGTAGCTCTATTGACTCAATGTGGTACAGAATTGAGTTCAGGGATGAGAATTACTGGAAATTTAAGGGGGAAACTATGAAAGCAAGAGAGGTATGGAATAGGCCAGACCTACCTAAAATATGATTAGTAACTCTACAAACATTTGCCTGACCACTGAAATATTCATGGCACATAAAGACCCCATGGCACATAAAAAGAGCATGAGATCCTTGAAAGACATAAACATGTCAAGTAAGTGCTCTGAGTTTTATTTTGTAAGAGATATTTTCCAATTTATACAACTTAGGCAGTGGAAATATGAAGTCTTACTAGTTTTAGGTATCAGAATAGAGAGACTGAGATGGGAACTCCAGATGGAAATTATAGAGGAGGCTTTCAAAAGAAGGAACTTGTAGATAGATTATTCTCTGAAATCTAAGTGGATTGTCTGCCTAAATACTTAGCTGAAGCCACATTACATCAGGGAATCAGACTAAAAATTCAACCATTGAAATTCATTTGAATTGAACAGACATAGGTGCTATACTTTGTTGGGCAGATGAAGTTTACAGTTTATGTCTAAGCAGCTTAGCTCCCAATATGGGGATAAAAACCCTCCGGAAAGACAGCTGAATATCACCATTGTCTCATTTTATCATTTAATATTCATCCTATTAAAAAATAACCAGAAATTAAGAAAAACAAGAAAGGGTGAACCATTCTCACAAAAATTGGTAGTTCGGGACAACTGACTCTGGAAAGTCTAAGACATCATATTTATTTATTTATTTATTTATTTATTTATTTTTCTTGTAATATCTTTTATTTTTTTATTTTTAAACTATATTTGTTTTCCCCCCACCCCCTCAGATTGAGTCCCCATAGAATTTCCTTCCCCAAGGCACCTGTGCACCGTGCACCTTCACCTCAGTCCTCTGTGCTCCTCCCTCTTTCCCTCTCACCCCTCTCCCTCCTCCTCCCCTGCAGCATGTCTCTGGTTTATAATTGTCTGGTTTTGCTTTGTTGTGTTTTGTACTGTTATTATTTTTTTACACTGATGTAAGACATCAGTTTAATAGGTAAAGACTTTACAATAATTTTTTGTATATAGTATAGTATATAGATTCAAGAAAATTATACCCTAAGAATTTAAGGAAAAGTTATGTTAATGAGTGAACAGCTAGAGAGCTCAACAGATAGTTAACTATAAAAAATAAAAAGTTAACTATGAATTTATTGAATTGAAAAAATGAGAAATCATACTTCATCAGATTAGAAATTTTTTTCTCTTAGACTCTATTGAGAAAAACAAAACATCAAACTCTAGGAGAAAATATTTACTACTCATACATATTGAAATATATATATGAATACAGATAAAATATACTCAGAAGCCAATTCAAAAAACTCTTACTCAGATGCATAGAAGAAAAATTAAGAAATAGAGTTTTTGGTTTGACATGTGAGAAGCTTGGAATTGGCCACTCAGTCCTTACAAGAAGTTAAAAGCTAAAAAACTGAAAACTTAGATATAGTAGGTAAGTGACTTTACAGGGCAAACTGCTATCCCCGAAATTGGAAAGTCTGATAGGTGAATACAGAGAATGACAACTTACTGGATAGGGTAGGCAAAGTTAATTGTAATTGATGAATTGCTGGAGACTTAGTGTGTGCACAGCTATGATAGCTAATGTTCCCAGAGAGACCAACTCAGAGGGAGCAACCATACTTTTGTGAGTTTTACCTCCAGGCATTCAACTGATTGCCACATTGAATATTGAAGAAAATTTTTTTCATGCTTCTTGCAGAGGGCAGCGTTCTGTTCTTCTTAATAAAGTCTGTCTTTCCAAAACTAAGTTGAATTGAAAAAACAGCTGATTAGTAATAACCAAATATCCAAATAAAAGTGACAGTAAGAAAAAAAAGCTAACTAAAGAATATTTAAACTTTGTATACATGGGTCATTGTATGGAATAACTTTTAAAAGCATAATTAATACAGCTGCCTACTGTTCATTAAAGATGTCAATAAAAACACAAGTGATACAAAGACAACAATGGGGAGCTCAAACTTCTGATACTGGTAAAAACATAGTTTAGAAGAAACATGCTACTGAAGACTAGAAAACCTGTTCAAGTCATTGAATTGTATGAAATAAAATTAGTTTGTGCCAGCATTCCAGTGCCATCAGAGATCTGGAGAGACCAGCCTGGCTTCTTTTTTTAAAATTTATTTTATCCTGCCACTTTACTGAATTGATTGATGAGTTGAATTAGTTTTTCTGTGGAGATTTTGGGGTTCTCTATGTATATTATCATATCATCTGCAAATAGTGATAGTTTGACTTCTTCTTTTCCTATTTGGATTCCTTGGATGTCTTTCTCTTGTCTTATTGCTCTGGCTAGGACTTCCAGTATTATATTGAAAAGCAGTGGTGAGAGTGGACATCCTTGTCTTGTTCCAGATCTTAATGGAATTGCTTTCAGCTTTTCACCATTGAGAATGATACTGGCTGTTGGCTTGTCATAGATGGCCTTTATGATGTTGAGGTATGTTCCTTGTATCCCAAGAATTTCAAGGGCTTTTATCATGAATGGGTGTTGCACTTTGTCGAAAGCTTTCTCAGCATCTATTGATATTATCATATGGTTTTTATATTTCTTTTTGTTGATGTGTTGGATAACGTTGATTGATTTTCGGATGTTAAACCATCCTTGTGCCCCTGGAATGAATCCAACTTGGTCGTGGTGAATTATCTTATGGATACATTGTTGGATTCTGATAGCTAAAATTTTATTGAGGATTTTTGCATCAGTGTTCATTAGGGAGATTGGCCTATAGTTTTCCTTTTTTGTGTTGTCCTTATTCGGTTTTGGTATTAGTGTAATATTGGCTTCATAGAACATGTTTGGTATTGTCCCTTCCTTCTCAATTTTTTGGAAGAGTTTGTGAAGGATAGGCACTAATTCGTCTCTGAATGTTTGGTAGAATTCATTTGTAAATCCATCAGGTCCTGGGCTTTTGTTTTTGGGGAGGTTTTTAATTACCATTTCAATTTCGCTGCTTGTAATTGGTCTGTTTAGGTGTTCTATTTCTTCTTTATCTAGCTTTGGGTGATTGTAGAGTTGTAGGAATTTGTCCATCTCCTCTAGATTGTTGAACTTGTTTCCATATAACTGTTCATAGTAGTTACTGATTATTCTTTTGATTTCTGCTGTGTCCGTTGTGATTTCTCCTCTTTCATTTATTATCCTGTGTATTTGTGCTTTCTCCCTTTTTTCCTTTGTGAGCCTGGCTAGGGGTTTGTCTATTTTATTGATTTTTTCAAAGAACCAGCTCTTGGTTTCATTGATCTTTTGGATTGTTTTTTTAGTTTCAATTTCATTTATTTCTGCTTTGGTTTTTATTATTTTTTTTCTTCTACTGGTTCTGGGGTTTTTTTGTTGTTCTTTTTCTAGATCTTTGAGCTTCGAGATTAGGTTGTTTCTTTGAGTTCTTTCTTGTTTCTTGATGTGAGCTTCTATTGCTATATATTTTCCTCTTATTACTGCTTTTGCTGCATCCCATACATTTAGGATATTGGTGTCCTCCTTGTCATTCAATTCAAAGAATTTTTTAATTTCTTCTTTGATCTCCTCGTTAGTCCAGTGGTCTTCCAGTAGTGTGGCTTTTAATCTCCATGAGGTAGGATAGTTCCTTGCCTTCTTTTTATGATTTATTTCTAGTTTGATGCCTTCGTGGTCAGAAAAGATGGTTGGTATGATTTCAATCTTGGTGTATCTGTTGATGTTTGTCTTGTGCCCCAGTATGTGATCGATCCTGGAGAATGATCCATGTGCGCTTGAGAAAAATGTGTACTCCGTTTTTTTTGGGTTTAGTGTTCTATAGATGTCTGTTAAGCCCAAATGCTCTAGGTCCTTATTTAGAGCTTTAGTTTCTTTACTTATTTTTTGTCTTGTTGATCTATCCATTGTTGATAGTGGTGTGTTGAAGTCTCCCACTACATATGTGTTTTCGGCGAGGATGTGGAGAAAAAGGAACTCTTGTGCACTGTTGGTGGGAGTGCAAACTGGTCCAACCACTATGGAGAGCTGTGTGGAGATTTCTGGACCTACTAAACATAGAGCTTCCATATGATCCAGCAATTCCACTCCTAGGTATTTACCCAAAGGACACAGAAACATCAATTCCAAAGAGCACCTGCACTCCTATGTTTATAGCAGCACTGTTTACAATAGCTAAGCTTTGGAAACAACCCAAATGCCCAAAAATAGATGACTGGATCAAGAAGATGTGGTACATATATACCATGGAATATTACTCAGCATTCAAAAAAGATAAACACATGCAATTTGCAGCAACATGGATGGCACTGGAAGGGATCATGCTCAGCGAAATAAGCCAAAAAGAAAAAGAAAAATACCGGATGGTCTCACTCATAGCAGGAATCTAGAAAACTTAAATAAGGGACCAGGAAAATGAATATAAGAAAGTGAAAATCAAAATCAACAAAAAACTATGAACCAGAGACACTTTTTGGGGGTGGGGGGGGCGGGAGGGGAAGGATTGGGGTCAGAATGGGGCGTTTGCAATTGTATGGGGGAATATAAAAATAAAATTTAATATTAAAAAAAATAATAATAATAATAAAAAAAAATATTTAATCCAAAAAAAAAAAAAAAAAAAATTTATTTTATATATATATATTTACATCATTCTTCCTTTTTTTCCTCATTCTTCCTTTTTGTACAATGTATGCTTTCTCCTCTCCAGTGTAGTCCCCATAGGATTCCCACCACCAATTCGCCGCTACACCATCATCATAGTCCTTTGTGCTCTTTACTCCCCTATTTTGATCCTTCTTCCCTCCCCTCCCCTGCAGAATATCTGTGATTTATAGTTGCCTGTTAATTTTGTTTTTTAATGTATTATAATTACTTTTTCCCTGATCTCTTATTTGGTTCCCCTCCATTCCTCCTATAAGTGAAACCATCTGATATTTTTCTTTTTCTTTCTGGCTTATTTCACTGAGCATAATTCCTTCCAGCTCCATCCATGTTGCTGCAAATGGCATGAGCTTTTCTTTTTTGATTGCTGAGTAATATTCCATTTTGCATATATACCACTGATCCAGTCTTCTATTTTTGGGCATTTGGGTAGTTTCCATATCTTATTGTAAATAATGCTGCAATAAACATAGGGGTGAAGTCTGGCTTTTGAGATGGCTTTTTTAAAATAAGAGTAGTTGGGGTTTTCACATTTCAGAGAAATATCAGTCTTTGACAGTTTTACATTATAGAAGCTCTCTATGTGAATAGGTTTGGTGTATATGATTTATTATTAAGGCAAAAGTATAAGAAAAATGAGAATGGGAGTTACTGAGATGTCTAATAACTATTTCCTCTAATATGTTCCATAGTATGTTAATATGGCACAGATGTTCAAACAGAAGGCAATGAAATAACCCATTTCTTATATAAATTTGGGAATGATATGTGATTACTTTAAATTTCATATAAAGAATGGGATTGCTGAAACTGATTTTCAGAAAAGCTTCATACTTTATAAAGCGGTTCTGTGTTGCAGTTTTATTTGATGACATCTAGTCATCTAGGATTAACACATAACATTTGTTTACAGAATTGTACACATAAATCCTGCTGTGATGCTACAGTATGTGCATTGAAAAATAATGCAGAATGTGGTTCTGGGGAATGCTGCAACAAAGATTGCAAGGTAAGAGGCTATCAGCATTTTGTAACAGCTCATCATTAAATTTCTTGAAATATTTTTTCAAGAAGTTGGAAAACGTCGATACCATATTCAGTTCTTCCAATTATAGTTTCCCTAGCAACTCTGAACCTACTCATACTTTAGTCTTTTCATTAATCTATCATTTCCAGGACTCTCATATATATAATACCTGATATTTCTTTTCCTAACTTCACTTCTGTTTCTGTACCTCACTATAAACCTTTCCCTGGCACATTGAGATTTTCTACTGTAGAAGCTTTCAGTTATAGAAAACATTGTTTTCAACTATAAACATCATCCTGTACATAAGATCATCAGATTTACTCATTTTATAGTTGAAAGTTTGTGTCCTTGAACAGTATCTTTCTATTCATTCACTTTTCTATCCCCACTATCAATTTGTTTTGATGAGTTTGGGTTTTTAGATATAAGTGAGATATGCACTCTTGTCTGATTTATTTCACTTAGTGAAATAAATTCATGTTGTTGCATTTGGCAGAATTTTATTCTTTTTTATTTTGTTCTTTTATTCTGAATATTATTCCATCATATACACATAGGACATTTTTTTCTTATCAACTCATCCATTAGTAGACACTTAGGGCACTTGGTTGCTGTGAGCAATGCTGCAGTTATGATGGGAATACAGATTGTCTTTTCAAAATACTGATTTTATTTCCTTTACATGTATACTTAACAATGGGATTGCTGGATGCATGGTAGTTCTATTTTTAATTTTTTTGAAGAATGTGCACTCTGTTTTCCACTCTGTTTCTAGAAATTTATCTGTTTCTTCTTGGGTACTTAACCTGTCAGCATAATAGCCTCTAATTACCATTTTTGTTCATATTACATATATACTATATGTAATATATATTTTTACATATATGTATACACACATACACATATATAATTAGCTTTAGGGTTTTCTTTTCAGTTGTTATTTAATTTTATTGAGTCCTGTCTCTTTTTATTTGTTAGTCTAGCTAAAGGTTTGCCCTTTTGTTTATCTTTAAAAAAAAAAAAACAACAACTAAAAAACAGCCCTCTGTTTCATTGATTTTTTTTCTGTCCTTCCAATATTTTTGTTTTTAAGAATCTGATTATTTATTTTCCTCTATATTGGGCTCCATGTTCAAAAAGAGTCTTTTCTCATTATTACAAGATATCAGAAGGTCATGGGGCAAAATAACCCTAGGTTTAAATCAGTGGTAACTTAGTGAACTCTTTCTTAGTATTCTTGTTGTCATGGGATACACTTTATTTGACGTTTTAAAAATACTTTTTAAAATTAACATTAATTACAACACTATATTATTCAGAAATATAGGATCCATTTCTTCAGCTAATACCACTCCACCCACACATCACCAAGGCATCTGTATCTTGGCTATTGTAAATAGTGCTGCAGTGAACATAGGAGTGCAGGTTTCCTTTTGAATTTGTGGTTTTGTGTTTTTTTGGGTAGAACGTAGGAATAGAATTTTCTGGTCATTTGGCAGAGCCATTTTCAGTCTTTTTTTTTTTTAAGATTTATTTTATTTATTTGTACAAGCACTGGGGACAGTCAAAAGCGTGGGAGGGTGAGAGGATTCACCAGAGCCAGAGCAGGGAACAGAACAGGCAGACTAACAAAATACATTGCTGAGGGGAGCAGCAGGCCAGACAGTAGAGGTCTGCCGTGCCATTTGGGACCCTCGCAGGGGGCTGGGGATCTAACCGAAGCCGTGGAGGCTGCCGGCATCTTTGCAGCCCAGCGCTCAACCGTTGCGCCACCGGGGGACGCCCGCCATTTTCAGTCTTTTGAGAAACTTCCCATAACTTTTCATAAGGGTTGGACCAGTCTCAGTCCTACCAATATTGTAAGAAGTTTCCTTTTTCACCACACCCTACTCAGCATTTGTTATTTCTGGTCTTTTTGATAAGGAACATTCTCACTGATGTGAGGTGGCATCTCTTTATGGTTTTGATTTTCATTTCCCTGATATTAAGTGGTGATGAAAAATTTTTCAGGTGTGTGTTAGCCATCTATATCTGTTCATTGGAGGAGTGCCTCTTAAATTCCTCTGCCATTTTTTGATTGGGTTGTTTATTTCCTTTTGTTGAATTGTACGAGTTTTTGTAGATTTTTGATATGAGTCCCTTGTACAGTTTGCAAATATTTTCTCCCATTCAGTAGGGCATCTTTTTGTTTTAATTAACAGTCTCTTTGTGCAGGAGCTTTTTAGTTTGATGTAGTCCCAATTGTTTATATTCTCTTTTGTTTTCCTTTCTGCTGGGGATGAATCTGCAAAGATATCTCTGGAGTTTATGTCATAGAGTATTTTGCCTGTGTTTTCTTCTGTACATTTTATGGTTTCAGGTCTTATATCCAAGTCTCTTATCCATTTTTGAGTTACTGGAGTCTGAGTCAGTTAATAGAATCTGTGATCGGCTGTGGTGATATGCACACTGGTTGCTCTGAGTGACCACCCCTCTCTCTTCCTCCTATATGTCTGCCTATTCAGCTGAGCCTATTCTCTCAGTGTTCTGGGTTGGGCAAGAAAAAAGTTGGCTTTTTGTGTTGTATATCACAGTGTTGAGGAACCAGGTTCTCATTATCATTTTCACTTTTTCCTGTTAGAGAAATCACAGGCCAAAATGCTCTCTCTTGTCATTGAACTGTATATGTTGGGGTTCTCAAGAACTTATGTGGGTACAATGAAACTGTTCTTAACCTTTTCTGTGTTTTTCCTATTCTCACATTTTTTTGCTTTATCAGGGAACTGGAAATTTACAGTTGAATTTCTGGGTTTCCATAAAGATAGTCTCATCCATGGTAGTTAGCTACATGATGTTTCTGGTGGGTATGCATTCTGGAATTTCCTGTTTTGCCATCTTGCTAATATCACTGTATTCTGTTTTTCCTTTATTGGTCATATTATACAATGTTAAATATTATTCATTAAGTATAATTTAAAAACTTAACTACCCCATTGAACACAAACATTGTAACTGATTACTTAATTCTCTGTTACACCAAGAGAGAATAACTTTTCTTATGCATAAGTCATATTTTTTTAAAGATTTATTTATTTATACAAGCACTGGGTACAGTCAGAAGCACAGGAGGGTGAGAGAATTCACCAGAGCCAGAGCAGGGAACAGAGCAGGCAGATTGACAAAATATACTGCTGAGGGGAGCAGTGGGAGCTACAGGAGAGGTCTGTGCACCATGTGGGACCCTCGCTGGAGGCCAGGGATTGAACCAGCACTGCAGAGGCTGTGGGCAGCTTTGCAGCCCCGCACTCAACCACTGAGCCACTGAGGGAGGCCCTGTGTATAAGTCATATTTATAAATTCACAGGATTATGTCAACAACTTTGCTATTGAGACTTGTTGGAGTTGTCATAATCATTAGTACCTGGTCCCAATTATGGGAAATGAAAGTGCCCAAATTGTTTTTTCTGGTACCTACACTACAATCTTTACTAGGTAGTCTAGGCTTGTGTGGTAGTTAGAAGTAATAACTTAATTTATCCATCCCTGTTTCCATTTTGTAAAGGTACATAGCCCTAACCATGAATTAGATATTACATATATTTATACTGAAAGTCTTAGAAAAAATAAAAATAAATTAATTAAAAACTAAAACAAAAAAAATGAAAACAAGAAGGTTTCAAGAGAAAACAACTAGAAACAGAAATAAACAGTTTTAAAGTTTTAAGCTCATTTGAGAATTTGAGAACCAAGTGAAGGAGAATGAATCCTCCTTAATGGAGGAAGCTATAGTATGATGAAACTTGATTCAGAGAATGTTTGAGGAACTAGGTATTTATAATATTGAAAAAAAATTTGGGTGAGGGGTAGACTGCAGGTGCAGGGAAGTGCTCTCCTGACTCACCATTTTAGAGCAGGGAGCTTTGAACCCACTGAGACTGTGTGGAACTGGGAAAGGGCTGCCCCCACAGCCAGAGGTGAGCTGAAGGCTCCCACAAGCCAGGCCCCACCTGGCAGTGAGTTGGAGTCCAGAGGGGGATCCAGAAATTTGGAGCCCGGTGGGTGATCCAGCTACCACCAGGCAGTCTGTGGGACCTTAAGACCCACCTCTGGAATTAAACAAATACAGACGGAGGAGATTTTCTGTGACAACGACCATTAAAATATTAATAGTACCACTGCCCTATTTGACTTCTGGCATAACAGTATTTGACTCGATTCGACCACCATTTTCTGATATCCCAGAAAGAGCACACCAAAAAGATGCTGGCCAGTACCAGCGACACAGTGTCCCAGCACATAGGATAAATTAGAAAAAAAGAAGCAGGGAGAAGAAAAACCCCAAGCAAGTCCTCAGGGAAAAGACAAACCACAAAAAGAAAATCATCCACCAGAATGCAACAACAGTGACTTGGAAGAACTTCTGAGCCTTCCAGAAAGAGAATTTAAAATTGCCATGATTAAAAAACTGAAAGAAACCATAAAGGAAAACAATGATAAGGGAAAAATAATCAACCATCAGAAGAATGAAATTGAGTCCCTAAAGAGGGAAGAGAAAGAAATGTAGGAGATCAAAGGATTAATGGAGGAGCTAAAGAACTCTGGGAAAAGCAGTGAAAGCAGAATAGATGAAATGGAAGAATGAATAAGTACTTTCAAAGACACAGAAATAAAAAGAACCAAAACAGAAAAGGCAAGAGAAGTACGAAAGAAAAAGAATGAAGAAAGACTTCGGAATCTATCTGATTCCATGAGGGAAGGAAATATAAGAGTTATAGGAATCCCACGAGGAGAGGAGAGAGACATAGGAACAGAGAAAATATTCAAGGAAGTAATTGAAGAGACCTTCCCAAACATGAAGAAGGAGCTGAAAATAGACATACAAGAAGCAAGAAGAACACCAAACTTCCATGATGAAAGGAAAAGTACAGCAACACACATAATAGTAAAGCTCCCAAGAATCCTAGACAAGGAACTAATAATGAAGCTGACAAGAGGGACAAAACAGATAACATACAAAGGAAAACCAATCAGGCTGACATCAGACTTCTCTGAAGAAACACTATGAGCAAGGAGAGAGTGGATGGACATAGTCAACAAACTCCAAGACAACAAATGCCAACCAAGAATACTCTATCCCACAAAGCTTACCTTCCTCTAGGAAGAAAGAATAAGGACAGTCCCAAACAGAAACTCTGGAATTTCATTATGACTAAACCCCCACTCCAAAAAAATACTACAAGGAGTCCTAAAGCCAGAACCAACAGAGGGATGAATAAGAACAAAACAAGACAAAAGAAGTAATTAAAAAAAATACTACCAGAGAAAAGACAAACAAAATGGCAAATACAGACACTAACATATCAGTATTAACTCTAAATGTAAATGGACTACACTCCTCAATAAAAAGACACAGAGTCGCAGGCTGGATTAAGAAACAAAACCTAACCTTTTGCTGTTTCCAAGAAACACATTTAACTATAAAAGATAAAAATAGATTGAAAGTAAAAGAATGGAAAACAGTCCTACAAGCAAATGGACCAAAAAAGAAGGCAGGAATAGCTATCCTTATTATCAGATAAAACAGATTTCAAACTCAAAAAGGTAAAAAGAGACCCAGATGGTCACTACATTGTGATCAAGGAGACAATACTTCAAGAAGAAATAACACTCATTAACATATACTCACCAAATGAAGGCATACCAAAATATATCAGACAACTATTATCATCTCTGAAAACAGACATCAGAGAAAACACATATGTAGTAGGAGACTTCAACACACCACTATCAACAATGAATAGATCAGTGAGACAAAAAATAATTAAGGACACTAAAGCTCTAATTAAGGATCTAGACCTCATGGGCTTAACAGACATCTATAAAACACTAAACCCCCAAAAATCTGAGTGCATATTTTTCTCAAGCACACACAGATCATTCTCCAGGATCGATCACATACTGGGACACAAGACAAACATCAACAGGTACACCAAGATTGAAATCATACCAACCATCTTCTCTGACCATGAAGGCATCAAACTAGAAATAAACCATAAAAAGAAGGCAAGGAACCCTCCTACCTCATGAAGATAGAAACTCACACTACTGGAAGACCACTGGACTAATGAGGAGACCAAAGAAGAAATTAAAAATACTTTGAGTTGAATGACAAGGAGGACACCAATTTTCTAAATCTATGGAATGCAGCAAAAGCAGTAATAAGAGGAAAATATATAGCAATAGAGGCTCACATCAAGAAACAAGAAAGAACTCAAAGAAACAACCTAATCTCACATCTCAAGAACTAGAAAAAGAACAACAATAAAATCCTAAAACCAGCAGAAGAAAGAAACTAATAAAAATCAAAGCAGAAATAAATTAAATCAAAACTAAAAAAACAATCCAAAAGATCAATGAAACCAAGAGCTGGTTCTTCGAAAAAAATCAATAAAATAGACAAACCCCTAGCCAGGCTAACAAAGGAAAAATGGGAGAAAGCACAAATAAATAGGATCACAAATGAAAGAGGAGAAATCACAACAGACACAGCAGAAATCCAAAGAATAATCAGAAACTACTATGAACAGTTATATGCAAACAAGCTGAACAATCTAGAAGAGATGGACAAATTCCTACAACTCTACAATCACCCAAAGCTAGATAAAGAATAACTAGAACACCTGAACAGACCAATTACAAGCAGTGAAATTGAAATGATAATCAAAACCCTCCCCAAAAACAAAAGCCCAGATGGATTTACAAATGAATTCTACAAAACGTTCGTGCCTATCCTTCATAAACTCTTTCAAAATATTGAGAAGGAAGGGATAATACCAAACACATTCTATGAAGCCAACATTATACAATACCAAAACTGAACAAGGACAACACATAAAAAGAAAACTACAGGCCAACCTCTCTAATGAACACTGATGCAAAAATCCTCAATAAAATTTTAGCTATCAGAATTCAACAATGTATCCATTAGATAATTCACCATGATCAGGTAGGATTTATTCCAGGGACACAAGGATGGTTCAAATCTGAAAATCAATCAATGTAATCCAATACATCAACAAAAAGAAATATAAAAACCATGTGATCATATCAATAGATGCTGAGAAAGCTTTTGACAAAGTACAACACCCATTTATGACAAAGGCCCTTGAAATTCTCTGGATACAAGGAACAAACCTCAGCATCATAAAGGCCATATATGACAAACCCACAGCTAATATCATTCTCAATGGTGAAAAGCTGAAAACATTTCCATTAAGATCTGGAACAAGACAAGGATGTCCACTCTCACCATTGCTTTTCAATATAATACTGGAAGTCCTAGCCAGAGCAATATGACAAGAGAAAGACATACAAGGAATGCAAATATGGAAGGAAGAAGTCAAACTATCACTATTTGCAGATGATATGATAATATACATAGAGAACCCCAAAAATGCCACAGAAAAACTAATTAAACTAATTAGTTTAGTAAAGTAGCAGGATAGAAATCAACACACAAAAATCAGTAGCCTTCCTATACACAAACAAATGAAGAAGAAGAAATCAAGAAAACAATCCGTTTTATCATTGAAACAAAAAAAAAATTCAAATACTTGGGAATAAACCTAACAAACGAGGTATAGGACCTACACAATACTGTGAAAAGAAATAGAAGAAGACACAAAGAAATGGAAAGACACCCCCTGCTCATGGATTGGAAAAATTAACATTATCAAAATGGCCATCTTTTGTTTAAAGATAGGGCCTTTACAGAGGTAATTAATATATGTAGCAGTTTACAGTGTAAGCAATTTACAGATTCAGTGCTATTTCAATAAAAATTTCAATGACATTCTTCAAAGAAATAGAACAAATATTGATGAAATTCATGTGGAGCCACCACAAACCCTGAATAGCCAAAACTCTCCTGAAAAAAAAAAAAGAAAAAGAACTTGGGTGAAAGAAACAAATCTTTAAAGGCTACATACTGTATGATCCCAACTATGTTAATGTCTGCAAAAGGTAAAACTATGGTGAGGGTAAAAAGATCTGTGATTGCCAGGGATTTTAGGGGGGGCAAATTTGCAGAACATGAAGGATTTTTAGTAAGACAGCGAAAATACTTTGCATGACACAATAATGGTAGATACATGTCATTATTGTTTAAACACACTTTAATGTGAAATGTGGGCTTGGAATGACTATGACATGTCAATATAAGTTCATCAATTGTAACAAGTATAATAAATGTATCACTCTAGAGGGAAGTGCTGATAATGAGGGAGGCTTTGTATGTATGGGATTGGGGTATGTGGGGAATCTCAGTACTTGCACCTCATATTTGCTATGGTTTTTAAACTGCTTAAAAATGAAGTCTTAATAAAAAAATGAAATTTGAATAAAAGTTAACATTGCCATATACAAAAATATTTATAAATGAAGCGTATTCTGAAGAAATATGTATTAGTGATTTCTCATCATGGTTATATGTATTTCTATTTATAAACAATTTTGATGATTTGTTTTTGATTTGTTTACTAGTCTGATGACACAAGTTAAAAGTGTTGTGTTTTGTCTTCTCACCTATAACTTGATGAATTGTGTTTATGAAAATGTGAAGAAATTGTTTACAGAAAACCAATTTTGATTAGGTGAATGTTATACACTGGGATCATAGTACATTTGACAGCTAAAAAATTTTGACTGAGTTTGATTATGATTGATGATAACCATGAGGAACTGAGACTTGGGTTGAGGAAAAGAAACTTTGCTGTGATGATATTTAGATGTTTCTTGGCAAAAGCAGGTTACGGATAGGGAACCCTGGGAACTATCAGCTAAAGGGTAAGTACTGCAGAGGCCCTAGGGGATGGGAGAGTTTTCTTTTTATAATTGTTTTCAATGTGGTATGTGAAATAAACTTTCTCTTATGTGTTCTTAAATTATCTTCTTTTAAAATCTATAAGCATCTTTCCTAAATATTTATGATGTATATTTATTGTTTTAAATAATGATGGTGTATGGAGAAACCAGAGACTTTCAGTGTGAGCGTAGCCATCATGGGTTGAAAGTTTTTTCTATTAATTTCTTTGTTCTACTCATAATTATGGTAGTCTGCTTGAGTTTCTCCTTTCTATCAGAAGTATTACCTACTCCTTTATGCACAATAAATTCAATCACTAAAATTTCAGTGCATTTTTAAAGTAAAGAGATAACTTATTTTTCTCATTGTTCTTTGCAGCTTAGGGAAAAATGGAAATTTAATGCCTTAAGGGAAAGAAAACTTGACTATCACTGATATATATAATTTTCTCTTCTGTTCCTTTTCCCTCCCAGGTAAAACCAATTGGTGTAATGTGTAGGCAATCATTTGATAAGGAATGTGATTTTGCTGAATATTGTAATGGGAAATCTTCAGTCTGTGTGCCTGACACTTATGTACTCAACGGAATTAGATGTGATTCGGGTGACTCCTTCTGTTATGAGGGACGATGTCGGATATTTAACAAACAATGTAAAAGGTTAATTGGAAGAGGTAATAACAATGATTTTCTTCTTACTTTATAAATTTTCATTATTCCAAGCTGTGTTTATCAATTCTATAACACAAAAGTAAATGTAATTTGCATCGAGTGTAGTCTTGCCTAATGTATATTAGTGTTAAAGTAAATCACAATTATCTTCATTCTGTAAAAGAAAAAAACTCAGAATTTATATGGACTTCCTTTCACAAGGAAAAAACCTCAAATGGAAATGCCACTTCTTGTAAGTCTTAAATGAAACAAAGCAGGGTTAATCATTGATTGGATAGATTTCAAGAATGGGTCTTGTCAAAGGCCTTTGCTGATAAGTGAGGGCTTCAGCTTTTGACATGTATAGCCTAGTTTGATAGCTTCCTATAAATATATAGATTATTAGCTTTATTGAAATATGAAATTTTTTGCACATATGAAGCTCATCTTCCACGAGAGAGTGAAATTTTTCATTCTCAGTCCTCTCTTTTTTTTTTTTAAATAATAAATTTTATTTTTATATTCCACATACAATTGCAGCCCCCCCATTCTGACACCAATCCCTCCCCTCCCGCCCCTCACCCCCCAAAAAGTGTCTCTGGTTCATAGTTTTTTGTTGATTTTGATTTTCACTTTCTTATAGTTATTCATTCTCCTGGTCCCTTATTTAAGTTTTCTAGATTCCTGCTATGAGTGAGACCATCCGGTATTTTTCTTTTTCTTTTTGGCTTATTTCGCTGAGCATGATCCCTTCCAGCGCCATCCATGTTGCTGCAAATTGCATGTGTTTATCTTTTTTGAATGCTGAGTAATATTCCATGGTATATATGTACCACATCTTCTTGATCCAGTCATCGATTTTTGGGCATTTGGGTTGTTTCCAAAGCTTAGCTATTGTAGACAGTGCTGCTATAAACATAGGGGTGCAGGTGTTCTTTGGAATTGATGTTTCTGTGTCCTTTGGGTAAATACCTAGGAGTGGAATTGCTGGATCATATGGAAGCTCTATGTTTAGTAGGTCCAGAAATCTCCACACAGCTTTCCACAGTGGTTGGACCAGTTTGCACTCCCACCAACAGTGCAGAAGAGTTCCTTTTTCTCCACACCCTCGCCAACATTTGTTGTTGCTAGTTTTTTTAATATGTGCCATTCTCACTGGTGTAAGATGGTATCTCATGGTAGTTTTGATTTGCATTTCCCTGATGACAAGTGATGTTGAACATTTTTTCATATGCCTGTTGGCCATTTGCATTTCCTCTTCAGAGAAGTTTCTTTTTAGCTCTTCTGCCCATTTTTTGACTGGATTATTTTCTTTGTTGTTGTTGAGTCTCATCAGCTCTTTGCAGATTTTTGTGATCAGACCTTTATCATTAGTGTTGGGTGCAAAAATGTTCTCCCAGTTGGTGGGGTTTCTCTTTGTTTTTGTTATTGTCTCTTTTGCTGTGCAGAAGCTCTTTAATTTGATGTAGTCCCAGCTGTTTATCTTTGCCTTCACTATCACTGCTTTGGGTGATGTGTCTGTAAAGATGTCTTTGATGTGCAAATCACGTAGTGTTTCGCCTATATTTCCTTCTATGTATTTTATGGTTTCAGGTCTTATGTCTAATTCTTTAATCCATTTTGAGTTGATTTTTGTGTATGGTGTGAGGTAGTGGTCAAGCTTCATTCTTTTGCATGTAGCGACCCAGTTTTCCCAGCACCATTTATTGAACAAACTTTCTTTGCTCCAATGCATAGTCTTTGCTCCTTTGTCAAAGATTAGTTGACCATAAATCTGTGGGTTTATCTCTGGATTTTCTATTCGATTCCATTGGTCTGTATGTCTGTTCTTGTTCCAATACCATGCAGTTTTGATGATTATGGCTTTGTAGTATAGTTTGAAGTCTGGGAGTGTGATGCCTCCATTCCCTTCTTTTTTTTCAGGAGAGCTTTGGCTATTCGGGGTTTTTTGTGATTCCATATGAATTTCATCAATAATTGTTCTATTTCTTTGAAGAATGACATTGAAATTTTGATTGGAATAGCATTGAATCTGTATATTGCTTTTGGAAGGATGGCCATTTTAATAATGTTTATTCTTCCAATCCATGAGCAGGGGATATCTCTCCATTTCTTTGTGTCTTCTTCTATTTCTTTTAACAGTGTTTTATAGTTTTCTTTGTATAGGTCCTTTACCTCTTTTGTTAGATTTATTCCCAAATATTTGATTTTTTTTGTTTCAATAACGAAAGGGATGGTTTTTTTGATTTCTTCTTCTTCAGATTTATTGTTTGTGTATAGGAAGGCTACTGACTTTTGCGTGTTGATTTTGTATCCTGCCACTTTACTGAACTGATTGATGAGTTGAATTAGCTTTTCTGTGGAGTTTTTGGGGTTCTCTATGTATAATATCATATCGTCTGCAAATAGTGATAGTTTGACTTCTTCTTTTCCTATTTGGATTCCTTGGATGTCTTTCTCTTGTCTTATTGCCCTGGCTAGGACTTCCAGTATTATATTGAAAAGCAGTGGTGAGAGTGGACATCCTTGTCTTGTTCCAGATCTTAATGGAATTGCTTTCAGCTTTTCACCATTGAGAATGATACTGGCTGTTGGCTTATCATAGATGGCCTTTATGATGTTAAGGTATGTTCCTTGTATCCCAAGAATTTCAAGGGCTTTTATCATGAATGGGTGTTGCACTTTGTCGAAAGCTTTCTCAGCATCTATTGATATTATCATATGGTTTTTATATTTCTTTTTGTTGATGTGTTGGATAACGTTGATTGATTTTCGGATGTTGAACCATCCTTGTGTCCCTGGAATGAATCCTACTTGGTCGTGGTGAATTATCTTATGGATACATTGTTGGATTCTGATGGCTAAAATTTTATTGAGGATTTTTGCATCAGTGTTCATTAGGGAGATTGGCCTGTAGTTTTCCTTTTTTGTGTTGTCCTTGTTCGGTTTTGGTATTAGTGTAATGTTGGCTTCATAGAACGTGTTTGGTATTGTCCCTTCCTTCTCAATTTTTTGGAAGAGTTTGTGAAGGATAGGCACTAATTCGTCTCTGAATGTTTGGTAGAATTCATTTGTAAATCCATCAGGTCCTGGGCTTTTGTTTTTGGGGAGGTTTTTGATTACCATTTCAATTTCGCTGCTTGTAATTGGTCTGTTTAGGTGTTCTATTTCTTCTTTATCTAGCTTTGGGTGATTGTAGAGTTGTAGGAATTTGTCCATCTCCTCTAGATTGTTAAACTTGTTTCCATATAACTGTTCATAGTAGTTACTGATTATTCTTTTGATTTCTGCTGTGTCCGTTGTGATTTCTCCTCTTTCATTGATGATCCTGTTTATTTGTGCTTTCTCCTTTTTTCCTTTGTGAGCCTGGCTAGGGGTTTGTCTATTTTATTGATTTTTTCAAAGAACCAGCTCTTGGTTTCATTGATCTTTTGGATTGTTTTTTTAGTTTCAATTTCATTTATTTCTGCTTTGGTTTTTATTATTTCTTTTCTTCTGCTGGTTTTGGGGTTTTTGTTGTTCTTTTTCTAGATCTTTGAGCTTCGAGATTAGGTTGTTTCTTTGAGCTCTTTCTTGTTTCTTGATGTGAGCTTCTATTGCTATATATTTTCCTCTTATTACTGCTTTTGCTGCATCCCATACATTTAGGATATTGGTGTCCTCCTTGTCGTTCAATTCAAAAAATTTTTTAATTTCTTCTTTGATCTCCTCATTAGTCCAGTGGTCTTCTAGTAGTGTGGTTTTTAATCTCCATGAGGTAGGAAAGTTCCTTGCCTTCTTTTTATGGTTTATTTCTAGTTTGATGCCTTCATGGTCAGAAAAGATGGTTGATATGATTTCAATCTTGGTGTATCTGTTGATGTTTGTCTTGTGCCCCAGTATGTGATCGATCCTGGAGAATGATCCGTGTGCGCTTGAGAAAAATGTGTACTCCGTTTTTTTGGGGTTTAGTGTTCTATAGATGTCTGTTAAGCCCAATTGCTCTAGGTCCTTATTTAGAGCTTTGGTTTCTTTACTTATTTTTTGTCTTGTTGATCTATCCATTGTTGATAGTGGTGTGTTGAAGTCTCCCACTACGTATGTGTTTTCTCTGATGTCTGTTTTCAGAGAGGACAACAGTTGTCTGATATATTTTGGTGCTCCTTCGTTTGGTGAGTATATGTTAATGAGTGTTATTTCTTCTTGAAGTATTGTCCCCTTGATCATAATGTAGTGACCATTGGGGTCTCTTTTTATCTTTTTGAGTTTGAAATCTGTTTTATCTGATATAAGTATAGCTGTTCCTGCTTTCTTTTTTGGTCCATTTGCTTGTAGGATTGTTTTCCATCCTTTAACTTTGAGCCTATTTTTATCTTTTGTAGCTAAATGTGTTTCCTGGAGACAGCAAAAGGTTGGGTTTTGTTTCTTAATCCAGGCTGCAACTCTGTGTCTTTTTATTGAAGAATTTAGTCCATTTACATTTAGAGTTAATATTGATATGTTAACATCTCTATTTGCCATTGTGTTTGTCTTTCCTTTGATTTTATTTATTTATTCTTTTAATAACTTTTTTTTTTTTTTTTGGCCTTCTTTCATTGTTATTCGTCCCTCTGAGGTCTGGCTTTAGGACTCCTTGTAGTATTTTTTGGAGTGGGGGTTTAGTTGCAATGAAATTCCGGAGTTTCTGTTTGTCTGGGAAAGTCCATATTCTTTCTTCAAAGAGGAAGGAGAGCTTTGCGGGATAGAGAATTCTTGGTTGGCATCTGTTTTCTTGGAGTCTGTTGACTATGTCCCTCCACTCTCTCCTTGCCCGTAGTGTTTCTTCGGAGAAGTCTGATGTCAGCCTGATTGGCTTTCCTTTGAATGTTATCTGTTTCTTCCCTCTTGCCAGCTTCATTATTTTTTCCTTGTCCTGGATTCTTGGGAGCTTTACTATTATGTGTCTTGCTGTATTTTTCCTTTCGTCATGGAAGTTTGGTGTTCTTCTTGCTTCTTGTATATCAATTTTCAGCTCCTCCTTCACATTTGGGAAGTTCTCTTCAAT